GGAACACCAGTCGAGAGTGCAGAGCACGCTTGCCAAGACACTAGATAGTTGAGCCCGGTCCACCCGGCCGCGGACTCAGACAACAACAACAACATCACTGCCTTTCATCAGTACCCACTTTTATCCCCATCTTGCATCATAATATCTTGCAGAGACCGGTGATTCAGACAGCGAGCCGCTCCAATGATGCCCCGACGCGCACAAGGACAGCTCAACCAGTGTCGTCATGCGGGACCTGAGCTGGTTGATTAATGATTAGCGATATGAGGGCTCAGCTGTGAAGCTGAAAAGGAGGGGTACAAGTCCTGCAGGATCCTTCGGTCATGCAGTCGTTCGGGGTGCGACTTGTACTTCATGAGTTCTGGAACTGTGACAAATATGGAAGAGCCGACGGCAGTCAGTCTTTTCACCACCCACGCCTGATCTTAATGTCGTCTCAAAAGTTCGACATCCCTTCGCAACATTGGTCCCAACTTGTATTCGATGAAGCTCGAGATAAACGAAACGATGCCGACATCCTCAAAGAGCTCAGTACTTTCCGCCCGGTGACATCGGAGAAGAACATCTGGGCATTCTGGCACTCAGGGATACATTCTATGCCATCATGGTGCCAGAGGAATGTCTGTGCCTGGGTCCGCATGCATACCCAAGACGGCTGGACTGTTCGTGTCTTGGACAGCATACAAGAATCGGATAACTACTCACTCAAATATGTTCCCGCTGCCATTCTACCAGACGCATTTGTCCATGGAACTATGGATGGCCCATATGTGGGACCTCATAGTGCCGATATGCTACGCGGGGCATGCCTGTACGCACACGGAGGTGTTTTCCTTGATGTTGGCATCCCGTTGATTCGAAGCGTCGATCGCATTTGTTGGGCAAAGCTGGAGGATCCAAGCACACCGTTCGAGGTTGCTGCTCCGTGGGTATATGGAACTCACATCGGCAATCATTTTGTGTCTGCCAGGAAGGCAAGCCCCTTTATCGGTCGATGGTAATTTCTTTCCGTAAATCAGAATCGAGGGAGTCTTCGTGCTGACGACTTGGTTGACTAGGCACGAGCTCTTTTGCCATCTGTGGAAAAACCACACCAATTTTCTGGGTCTTATGAAAAGTTCGTTAATGAAGATTGTCGCCGAGCAGCCACTGGACCTTGATAGAGCATCGAGATTTCAGTGGGGTATCAGCAAAGACGCTGCACACGTAGACGAATATGTCACGCAGGTAATGTGTTGGAACCGCGTCTGTCTACTGGAAGATGCAGGTGACGGCTTTAGTGGCGTTGAGTACTGGACGAATAAGGTGCTACTATGGGATGGTCTTGAAGAGACATGGGGAGCAGAGACAACCTTGGGCTTCAAAGGCTGTGGCAGAAGAATGTATGATATATTTGCACTTCCATTGGATTCCGATAGCAGCAGCCCTGTCCATCAGGATGCCGAACGACTGGTCTGGCGGCTACTATCTGCTTCAAGCATGCAGAAAGTCTTCCGTGGAAAAGGCTTGACGCATGACGACGAGTTGGGAGAGCTGTGGGATGAGGATAGAGAAGGGCACGATTGCAAGGAGGGAACATTTGCAGAGTTATTCCGCTACGGTTGTGAGAACTTCAAGCAGACAAGAGAAGACATTACGTACGTCAAAGCACCACGCCCTGCAAAGACGTATAAGAAGAGCTTGCTAGAAGATTGAGCAATGCAGTACCAATCATTCTGTCGGCAACCTGCGGCTTCGCACTTCCAGTCGCTGGGCAATGTACTTCCCAGGGGCGGAGAGTTATAAACGATTCCAATTCCTGCCTCAGCTTCTTGTAAGGGCACGACGCCCAGCTTTATCTGGCTTGGGCGAAGTCATAGCACAGAGCATTGCCGCAGTATTTCAATACGAACACTGCTGAAGTCCATAGAGTCAAGAGGTCGTGAGACTTGGCTAAACATGGCAACATCATCCCGCTAAACCGCATCTAGGGCTACTTTTGCGACGGAACATCATTGTCTGGGCGGATCCACAGATTTTCTGCGAGCTGACGGCAGTGCTTGAGGCTGAAGTAAAATCGCATGCATTATTCAGTGGGAAGGAGGATAGATAAGGATGGGACGCAAGCCAGATCAGGTACTCCTTTTGCGATGCGATGTCCCTGCATCCGTTTGATTGAACATCATGCCTAACTATGGTCGGTCTGGACGTTGCCTCACATGCAAACGGCGGCGTGTCAAGTGTGACGAGGCGAGACCGGCCTGCTCACCATGTCGCCGACTCGGTCTGAATTGCGGAGGTTACAACAAGAACTACGCCTTCAAGGATGAGAATTTCAGATTCACTGCTCAAGGACTCCGGAAAAGTGTCAACGAGCAGAACGCACTGGTCCAACATTCAACAGGCGTCGGAGAGCCGAGTCGGTCCCTGCTAACTGGAGCCGACGTCGCCATACCTTTTTTTCTTCTGAACTATGCAAGCATGGGCCGCAGCCTTGCTGTGGGCCGCGGATTCTACGAGACACTTATTCCCGTGTACACATCTCAATGTCACAACTCGCCACTCTCTCTGGCCATCTCAGCTGTTGCCGCGGGGATCTACTCCTTTTGGCGTCACGAAGACGCCGCACAGGAAGAATCCCATACGGCGCCCTACTGCCAGGCGGTCGTTTCTCTTCGCTCAGCTCTGGACCACCCAGATGAACGCGCCAAACCCGCGACTGCCCTCGCCGTCCTGGTGCTACATTTGTACGAAAGCCTTCACGCGGTATATAATGCCCGACCGGCAAGGCCGGTACACCACCAAGGTGCGCTGTCCCTGCTGCCCGTCGCGGCACTGGACGGCCTGGATGGTGTGATAGGCACGCATGTAAAGGCATTCGTGCTCCACACTGAGATATCGTCAGCAGTGCGTCAAAAACGCTCGATGCACCCAAATGCCTACTCGTACGCCACAAGCCCACATAGCTCTTCTCTTGTGCCAGGGAGCTTCAGCTCGACTCTGGACTCGATTGGAGCACTTGTTGCAGAGCTGCAAGCGGATTATGTGCACCAACTGCCACATTTACACTCGTCTGGCACCCTTTTAGAGCAGCAGTGCAGAGCATGGATTGCACAAGCAGAACAAATTAATGACCTGCTGCAGGCTTGGGCGCGCGATGTGCCCGATGATTGGCGGCCTGTAAGACTCACAAGTGTGCAAGACTTTAGCCTGTCAATCGCAGCATATCAATCTGCTTGTGAAATCTATCCCTCTTGCCTGATCGCGACGTTCTGGAACCTGTGGCGATTTCACCGCCTCTTACTCCTCCAGATGACAGCTAGCGCCACACAACACATTCCCGTGCTTCGAGATGAGCCTTCCGTGGAAGAATGTGAAAGTGCCGGATCCATCCAAGAACTGGTAGATGGCATCTGCTACAGCGTGCCCTTCTGCCTCGGAAACCGAGCGGGGCAATCCTGCCTGAGCGATTTTGCAAACCCGGACATCTCGTTTCCCAGCTACCACTCGCTGGCACCAGGAGATTCAAGACACAGAGACTGGAAGAGTACCCCGCTGTCAAAGGACGAACACCACCGCCATATGGTCGCTTATGGTGCGTGGCACCTCCTGAGCCCCCTAAGCAACTTGCTGACCCTAGTCTCGGATGACCATGGCGGACGTTTTGTGGCGAGATGTCTGCGACCGGGCCAGTTGCAATGGATCCGCGAGCAGTTTCTGCGGACCTGCACCCTGCTCCGTCTGCCTGCAGCCAGGGCTTTCAGCGAGCAGAAGGGTAGGATTTCGTCGCCACTGCCTTCTGCGGACGACGCCGCAGAGACTCTCGCGAAGCAAGTTAGGAAGGGAGCCAGATTCATGAGTGGGCCTTAGAGCACAAGATTTCCCGAATCAGCTCTGTGTCGATGCCGAGCTAATTCAATTGGGATCTTCTACGGTGCGGCACAGCATGTGAGCTTTCACCATATCAGTTCTTGTCGTGTTTATAAAGAGTAATGCACATAAGCATATACGTTGACATCATTATCACTGTGTCTAACAAAACTCGGACTGCAATCTGCAAAAGATAGTTGTGAGTCGTGTTGCGTTCGTAGTCTCTATACTAATAGTTCCAAGCCGTCTCTGCCCTCGACAATGTTGCGGAAGAGTCATGTTTTAGGCTCCCAAGGCTTTATGTTGCTATTTCCAGCTACTTTCTTTCCAGCAGTCAATGAAGCTTCACCGCAAACAGGCACAAAGGCTCCAGATGGATGGTCGTACCTCATTCCTTCCTCGAGCCTCTCCACGGCTCCGTACGTCATCGTTCCCTTGGCGGGACTCGGTAGGAAGAGCACGGGAAGGTGCCAAGGTGTCGTGTCACGAAGAACGGTTTAGCAAGAAGCGTGACCAACTCGTCTTCTCGCTCGTATTCGCTTTCGAGCTGAGCATTCTGAACAAAGTTCAAGAATAGCCGCAAGGCTGCAAGAAAGCGCCGTTTGACGGGAATCGAACGGCAAAAGTCACGTTTCCCTCGCGATCTCTTCAACATCGCAGCCTCACAAACACAGTTTGATCCTTGGGCAAAAGGAGTTTGCGACGATCAGGTAGTTGCGTTCGTCACCGGTAAGGCTGAGCCACGTGTGCGACGTCAACGTATCCAATCGTAGGTCTCTATATATCGCAAAGTCGCACTCAATCTGTTCTAGTGTAGATTGCGATTGTTAACAACCGTGTTGGATCGAGAATGGGGAATGCTACTGTCAGTATTGCTGTATTCAAAGTATAAGTATAGTGTCAAGCCAGTGATGGAAAGGGTACATCGCTATTCCCACTCCAACTACCAGCCAAAGCTTATCATCATCATCTTATCGAATTTTCTCCATTTCCATTCAATCACATTGACTATGAGGTCTTCCACTCCCATCGCTCACTGCTTCGCGGCCTTGGTCCTTTCAGGTCTCGCTACCGGAGCCACGAACGAAACCAGTGACTACCCACCTACATATCAACTGGGGAACAACACAGCCTTCAATTCCGAGTTCATTGTTGCGCTTCAAAACTCGTTGTCTGGCGGGGCAGACATTGGCCCTGTCCTCGGTGCTGTCAAGAACATCAAGCCTGGCGACTTTGACTCCTACCACAAGGAGTTCTACAAACTTGCCAACGCAACTAAAGCGCAGGCCGAGGATCCTGAAAATAACTACGACCCCATCAACGTAAGGGACTCGTGGTTCTCCGCATCTCAGTACTATCGTCGAGCGGACGTCTACATCCATCGCAACTGGAGCGAACCACTCATCAAGACCGTATGGGATGAACAAACTGCCGCTTTCGATAATGCCATTGCTGCTTTACCGATTCCAGGCAGGCGTGTACAGATTCCCTCTCCCGAGGGCAATCTGACAGTGGAAGCGATCTGGTACTCTGCGTCTGAAGATCCGTATGCAAAGCTGCCCACGATGATCGTCGGCAATGGCTTTGATGCTGCGCAAGAGGACTCGTATCACTACTACTGCGCAGCTGCTCTTGCACGAGGCTGGAACTGCATCACCTACGAAGGTCCAGGTCAAAACACCGTACGCCGGACGCAAGATCTGGGCTTTATTCATAACTGGGAGGTTGTAGCCACTCCTGTAGTGGATTACGTTCTTTCAGCAAAGAAACAAGTTGTAGACGAGAGACGTCTTGTGCTGGCTGGCAACTCTATGGGAGGCTATCTCGCTGCTCGCGCTGCAGCTTTTGAACCACGCTTGTCGGCAGTCATACTAGTCGGAGGCCTTTGGGACTTATACGCTGGATACACTTCTCAACTTCCAGCTGATCTGCTTTCCATATATGAAGCTGGCAACTACACGACGTTCGACGAGCAGGTCCTGTCCCTACGAGATGTTGGACCTGAGGATATTGGCACCGAGGCTATCTGGGGTCTGGATTATGGTCTCTGGGCGTTCAAGACTCACTCTCCATCCGAATTCTTTAATCTTACGAAGCTATACCGAATCCAGGATGTTGTTCATCAGATTCAGATGCCAGTCTTTGTGGGAGACGCAGAGTTTGAAAACATCTTCAGCGGCCAGGCGCAGAAGGTCAAAGACGCACTGGGCGAGAAAAGCACCTTCCATCAATTCAAAGGAGTTGCAGGGTATCACTGCCAGTCAGGTGCGCAGCAAGAGCTAGCGCGTACGATCTTTGCGTGGTTAAACAAGACTTTGGAGATCGAGCTGCCATATTCTTAAGAAAGGCGAGCCAGGTCAAAGAATCACAACTCTATTAGCTGTCGCGGAACCAGATATGCTGTTAATGATAGAAAGTCCTTAGCTACCGAAATAGCGCTTGCATGGCGACTATGAAACACTAGTGAATCCCATGCTCGCCTCATCGATTTCACTTGAACTGAAATGGTCATTGTCAAGTGCTCCAAGATAACTGCCGCAGTGCATGCGCAGCGGGTCCTCCTCTCCACATGCCTGTAGCCAAGCGAGATGAATATACACGTGCACTCAATCTCAGAGAATGGACGTTTGAACACTGTTCAGCACATTCAGCTCCATCTTAGCTGTAGGAGACATCGCCTCCAGGCCGCTGAGACGAGTAATTGTATTTGCAAGCAGTCTCGCCAACTCTTGTTTGGGGACCAGGTGGCAGAGATCGCTACTCCGATGCGTGGCGGTCAGGAGGATTAGATTTATGAAACGCGCATGGGCGATTGGAAGTGCGTCGGGGCTCGATAGCATGTGCTTTTGTGGTATGGCGTCGAACGAGCGCGCGCTTTGGAGGGTGGCTTCAATGCTGAGGTGTGCGAGGCTCTGGACTTCGGTGGTACCGCAGATCGATTCTTTGTGGCGGATTGTGTTCCAGAAATAGTGGTTGGCCGTCAGAAGGTCTGCCAGCTTGCTACTGTCGTCTACGTTTACGCTTTGACCAGATAGTGGAGAACGGATTTTGTAGTCGAGGAATGGGCGAAGGAGCATAAGCTTGACCTCCCAGTATTGGTAGCGAAGATGGGCCAGCGCAAGGTCGCTGGAGGGAGGGTTTTCGTCGTCCCACTGGAGAAAAGGATGTAGCTGAGCACGCCATTCCTGGAGCTTCGATGCAAGTGCTTTTAACGCGCAGTCGACACTTTCCGGCGAAGTATCGAGCCTGCGGTCTGAGTATAGCTGGTGTTGAGCCGCGAGTCTGATCTTTCGAAGGTGAATTTGAGCTGCAAAAGGAAGCCTTTGTCGTTCCGTCTGACTCAGCTCGCTTTTGGTGAGCGACAGGGACGAACCATCTGTAGCGTTCTCGTACGTCTGAGGCACCATAAGGGCAAACGCAACATTCTCGAGCCCGCTGGAGGGAAGTTGTAGCTCTGGGAGTTTTTCGAGCTCGAGCTGTACACAAGTCCACGCAGCGCGTAAGACAAGGTCTTCACATGGCTCTTGGCCCGACGCGGTTGACGTCCGCTCTGCAAGATTTGGTCGAATATCTCTTGCATCTGTCAAAAGATGCCTTCGGCGTACGACTTGCGTATGCAGTACCACCTTGAAGCCTCGTTCAGCCGCATGCAGAGCGCTTTGTACATTCCGGCGAGGAGGAAGACTTGAGCGTGGATCAAATCTTGGCCGTCGATGAAGTTGGATGCCATTTCTGTTGCTGTCACGAAGTATCTCATCCCAGGAACGTACGACTGTGTTGTCCCTCTGTGTTTCGATTCACCGGACTGCAGTGAGTCGAGCGGGGCTGACACCATGTTCCCGTGCAGTATTAATTCGCCCAGTGCACAGCAGAGCATGATTAATGCACTCTCAGGCGATGATGAGACTGGAGATTGTTGCAGGAGCCCAGAGTCCGCTCGCTGTCGTTTGAGACGACCGCGATCGTCATCAGTCGTGATGCTCGCGATGCTGACCTGCTCCTGGAACCGTGTTGAGTGTTGCTGCTGGCGGCTGCATTGTTGGAAAAGACTTCTCAAGATTTCGGAATCCAGTAGTGGATATCGCGCGCCGATCTGAGCAAGGAACCCATTTATCAACTGCGCTACTGTGCTTGGAATCGACCGAGTCCTGAATATCTCGTCCGGTGAATACATGACTTCGAATTGAGCATCGGGTCCGGTGCTTGGCGAGGGCGATGCTCGTCCGTGACTGGTAACAACGTCATCCACAGGAGCAGGGAACGACGCGTGCTTGTCAGTACCTCGCTGCTTCAGCCCCCTTCGCGCGAAGAGGACTGGCCGATGTTCGAGTCTCCGCATCTGTTCATCATCGAACGTGATATTGACAGTCGAGAGAACTTGGCGAATGCTCGGCCACGTCAAGAAACAAAGGTGCCGCATGCCGCCATCCTTGTCTGCGTTGCCCATACCACTCAAGAGATTTCTCTGATTCTCACCAAGATCCATTTTGTGCGTCCTCCAATGTTTCAACTCTGTCGTTGACTCAAGTCTTTCGAGCGCCGCTCCCACGCGTTCGATCTTCTTAGTCAGGGTCGAAATTGCTTCTGAGTGAGCCAGCATGGATTCAGTGACGCTGTCAACCGTTTTGTCGAGTCTGAGCGGAGATTAGAATGGTGATTGGTTTCGCTTCTTTCGATGTGCCCTGCCTTTTGGAAGTCATTGTGCGGTGAACGCAGGGGATACTGTGCTCCTGGCAAAAGGAACACGGCAAACCCTCGTCGCACCGCTGTTTACGATACCTGCACTGATCACACGCCTATGGCTTGTCAGATTGGAGCAGAAGGAGAGTCTATTTGTCGTACCTGTGTAGCGCGATAGGACTTGGATTTCCTTCCGTCGGCTGCCTTGTGCGTGCGGGTCTCGAAAGCGACGTTGGGCTGTGCGCCGTTCACGGGGGCTGAGACTGGTACAGACCAACCCTGTAGACCTGTCGGCAGAGGATACTGAACGAAGCCTGAAGAAGTAGTAAACTCTCCAACATGGTTGAAAGCGAAGTTCGGCCAGGCTGCTAGAGACGTTAAGTCGACGCCTTGCGACAAGAATTGACTGTCATGTGCCATGGTTCAGGTATGTGGTTACTTACTTCAAAGAGCTCAAGTCTTTGGATTGTATCGACTTTATCAAGTCAACGAATGGCATGGAAATGTGAGTGAAGCTCTTGGAATTCGGCAGGGCACGCATGTTCAATCATGATCTGCGCACCTGCGGTTTTGCACCCTTGCAAACGCTAGCGTTGGGTTCACTTCTGAATCCATGTCGCCTTTGGTTGTAACTCGGATGCGGTCTTCGTGCCGAAATAGTGAATCTCGGTCAGTGGAAAGTGGTTGTATGCCTGATACGGAATAACTCGGCTTTCTCACAAGGCTGACTGCTTGAAGAACCTGTCGAAGGACGATGTAACTTTCGGACCGGAGATTTATTTCTGGGCCCTTGGCGCCAGGCTCTACAATAGTGCCATGTTCTCGCTCTCGGCTCGGCTCAACATGCCGATATCAACCACACAGTCTCGATGCTCTTTTCGGCCATATGTCGTCCCGTGTGCGCCCGATGGGGCACAGTCACGAGTATTTCTGCGGATACTATTTGCGACTGCCACTTCGCAAAAAATCCCATGAACCTGATTGGTAAGAAGCCGCAGCATTGGAGAATTTGCTACGAGCGTGCCAGTCATACGAGAGCAGAGCATACCAAAGACTGCCAGGATCACCAGGAAGAGGTTGCTGTACCCACAAGACTCCGCCGAGGTAGGCATTCCTGAAGGCGCTCAGTGTCCCCTTGGGCATCAACAGAGCCGTAGCGCTTACGATGCAGTCTGGATCGAAGATGTGTACCCTCGTGGTGGTACTCTTTCCACTTTCGCAGCCATCAGCTCGCCAGCTTGCGCCTTTTATGCTACCTATGAAGAAGAGGGGTGGGTCTTGCAGGGCAATGTTAACCAGTGTCAACTGTTTCCGTGGCTCACTGAATCGAAGCATGGCTTGGTAAATACGAACATTTTCATGGCTTGCAAAGTCGGCACTTGTGGATTGGGATGTAAACAAGAGAATTGGTCAGTGCTCGACGGCAGAAAAAGGCTAGTGCTCCAGTACTGCGCAACTTCTTCTTGGGAGGGGAGATCAGGATTGACTCCATCAGAAGAGCGCAAGAGGCCACCGTCCTTGTTGTACATGCTGTCCCGAAGCCGCCATGTCGAGTGCGAGCAACGCGATGACAGTCACAAGTACGTGTCGTGCAATTTAGCACAGCCCATCTAGCAACTCGGGCCAGAACCTCTAGTCACATACGAGATGATGGAATTTCGTCACCAAATCCGTTTTCGTGATTCGTGGAATTACTTCTTCTCAAAGTTTGGCCATCGCCGATCACGAAGCCCTGGGCCACCGAGCATCCTGCGATAAAGCCAAGAACGAGGCTTCTGCTCAGGCGTCCTGGACCGAACAATTCCATCAACTCGGAGGATGTCTCAGTAATCGCAAGGGGTTACTAGCGATGCCACATGACCCTTGAGCATCGCTCGATTCGAACATACTGGTTGAGGTCAACGCAATCCCTGAAGTGCCGATAAGGACACCCAACAACGGCCAGATCAAGTTTGCAGCAACAATTTGAAAGATTCACAGTGTTTGACATGTAGCAGGAGACCAGACGAGGTCGTGCCAAGACCGACGCAGCCCCCATCCTGGAATGAGGTCGACGGTGAACGTCAGATCGTTCGCGGAGAATTTTCGATACACTGGAAGCATCATCCTTCCAACGAAATTGACTTGGCATCAAATAACTCGGACACGGCTCCTTTCGGTGATTGGAAGACTCTAGGAGGATGGTGTCAACACTTGTGCGGCAAGCATCGCCGACGACCTTCGACCCTGCTTATCTAGCTAGTTCTACCTGAGCGCGGCTTCGAAAGTTTGCAGGAGTTAAGGCGTCTTGCGAATTCAACGCATGTCAACTGCTGGAAGCATTGAAGGGTTCGTGCCAAACAGGTGCAACGGAATTTGATATTTCAGTTGGCAGGTTGGAATACTCCTCATCATCACCGACCTCCCGAAATTGATACCATACACCTGAATGGCTCGCTGGGCGTGAGAGTAGTCAGCACTTTCAGATAAGCGTGGTATATGTTGATAGGCAGTGACCCGGTGAGTATGTTGTCGGAGCTGATGGAGTATCGCCGGCAGTATATCATGCTTTGACCCATTCCGAGAGTCGCTGAGCAACACCACACGCGGCATCTTGTTTCAACGTCAAGTATCATGGAGCTTTCCACCAATTGGAAATGCAGAGCTATGGGCGTGCTTATTGCCTGACCAAGACATATGTGCCCGGCGTTTCGCTTTCCACTGTGCTGCATTTGGTTGGCTATAATTTCAAGATCGCGAATTAGGGCAACTGAACGCGTTTCTAACAACGCATATGTTCCTATTCGATGATAACATCGCTGCCGGGCGAGCCATCCATAGTTGCGTCAGAGGCGCCGTTTGCAAAGACCGTTTCGATCAATACTACGTGAGCAAACCCGACAGAAAGAGGAACGGCGCCGCTTATAAGAGTAGGAAATGTCAGCTTGTTTTGCATAAAGTCGTCATTGGTTGAAAGTATCCCCAGAACCAACAGCTGGCCAATTGGTAGAACATGTCGACAGCTTATTTCTCCTGCCGGGATATGAGTAGATTCAATGCCTCTAGGTGAGACATGCAGATTCCCTGCAGCAATGTTGAGCAAGGCGAAAATTCTGTAAAGCCAGTATTTTCAATGACACCCGATCCGAAAATCTCTCTGCGAGGACACCATGGTTGCGGAGACAATGAGTGAAGTGTTCGAAGCTAATCCATGCTGTGAATTTTGCCTGCGAACTTTGTAAACGATGCATTAACACTGCTACTAGAGCCGAACGCCACTCTTAGGAACAAGCCTTGACGTGAGGCTAAGCAAGAGCCATTTAACCCAGAGCGCATGATCGGAAGCATGGCACGCTTTTGCTGTCGCCGTCGTTGTGTTGACGCCTTGAGAGAATAAGCCCACAGGTTCTGATGTAGGTCAAGACAAATGTTGAGACTGCTGTCCTCTTCTCCGGCTCTTTGTCGACTATGCTTGATCGTGCAAGGACAACAACGGGCTTTGATGACCTGTACGAACTGCAGCAGGAGAAAATGGCGTGAAAGAGAAGCTCAAGGAACTTGCATGAAGTGAGGTCGGCATACGGCCATCCGACGCTTTGCCCGATCGGGACCACCAGGCTGAGAATGACCAGCTTCATCTCACCAGCATCGTGTGTATATTACTAACAAACATTGGAGAGAAGTGAATCAAAGCAGAAGTAGCCCCGAGACTGGGAGCTAGCTTTTCTTAACCCGTTATCACACTAATCCTCTTCCAATCGGATGTATCTTCATTCGGCGCATAACGAACAACTCATCCCGTTTCTACGATTCAGCGACTAATTTAGCAGTCAAGGTACGTCGACGATTATGGCTGATCGAAGGGAGATTTTGCGTCTTGAATATTCAAATACGAAATACTACACGAAGTGAAATCCCAATTTACCGTTATGTAGAAATGGAGGACTGGCAGAAGGGTAGGTTTACTCTCCTTTTGCCTCCGCCATATGTTCTGCTGTATCACATACCACGCTGACGCCCAGAGCTGGAGCTGCCAGAAACGCTAAGAAATCCAGTCCGGGCACAAGCGCCAAAGCCGCGAGAGAGTCTGTGACTAGAGCTCCATCGGCGCAAATGAAAGTGCCGCCGTTGTGTAAGGCGAACTTGAGTTCGACAGTCATGTCTTGAGCTGGCCATCCGGGCGCGTCGGCAGTATCCTCCAAGAAAATGGCTTGTGCGAAGCCGGGAATGTTCGATATGGTGGCAGGTACATCGCCTTGCACTGTGTCCCATGAGCAAGTGAAGCCCGAGCAGTATGGGGGTGCCGGTGACCATGTGTTGTTCGGAGTGATCGAATTAGGCCCAAGCGACGCAGCGATCGTGGCAATGAGGCCTTGCAACGACTGGGTATCGAAATACTGGATAGTAGGAATGGAAATTTCTATTTCGCCGTCATTGTACCAGTCGCCTTTGCCATCGGTGTACACAACATTGGATATAGTGGGCACTGGGGCGCATTCCGTGACAGACGCCGTTGGTGAGGCTGACAGCGCGTTGGCGGGAGAATCTGTGCACGCCGCCATCAGTGCAGATGACACTGCAGTGTAAAGAGCGCTTGACGTGAGGGTGCCGACGTTGACGGATGTCTCAGAAGCCAGGGTCACTGCCATCCTTTTACCATATCGGATGGTCATACTAGAGCCAGTATGAACGGGTCCCCACTGATTGGATGTCGTGGTTTGGAATGCTACAAGAGCACCATTCGCGGCCGTTGATGTGAATGGGAAGCCCAGAGCTCCGGTGCTCTGTATCGTACTGGTTTGGGTTGAGCTGGCGGGAATGCTCTGGTACCCGCAAGGTGAGGGCCCTGTCAATGTGGGCAGACTACCCGCGTAGCCAGAGCACTGGCATACCGCGGATGCCCCCTCGTCAGGGTCCTCAAACGGCACGCACAAAGGGGCTGACGTTTCGCTTGGTACGATTGCACTTGTAGGCAAGCTGCCCGTGGCAGGTTGTGACGATTGCAGACTTGCGACAGACTCGACTGCCGCTTCGAGAACAGATACTGCATCTTCATCGCGGGGTTCAACGGCTGGTCGGGACCTGGGTATGCCAGGCGAATAGTATCTATTACGATGTCAACGATTGGTTCTAGATTCGGTATTAGTGAGAGTACCTAGCACAAGCAAGACCTGCGAAGATAGCAAAGAAAGTGATGTACGTTCTCAGTTGGTGTAGGAGAATTGGGGGTGTATTTCCAGGAGTACAAGATAAACGTATATTTGCAAGATAAAGCAGTCAGCTCCTTGCTTCGGTCTCAAAACATACAGTTGCAGTGTCTCTCTTATATTTGGCTTGTTCAGGCCATCCTCATTGTGAAAATACGAAGCTGTGGATTAGCCGCTGTTGGAGACTTGCCTCAGCAGACGCCTGTGGCGGTCGAAGGCACAGTGAACAACCTTTTTCTAATGATAAGACGTGTTCAGAAGCAATGGCGGATAGTCTTCTAAACCGTGAAGTGCGTCCCTGCCCGCATCCCTTCTCTGAAATACATTAGCACTAAGCATTCGAGTCTCACTAGGCGCGACGCTATGAGAATTTAACCACCCGCCTGCACAAACACGACCAATATTAGTACGTTCCTCAAATAGAAAGCGTCAGTGTACGGCGTAGGCTCTGCTCGCCTGCACACGAAGTCATCAGAAGTTTCGCCAGACGCCCGCATCGGCGCGACTGACACCACAACATCGGTCGAATTTGATGCATCCGCAGTAGTTATGTACACATTGGACCAGATCTTAGGACTATGAGGGGATGGCTGAGGCGGCGCGGCTTGATCGAATCCGCTTTTGCCATGACCCCTGATAGTGACGTTTGAGACAGACGTTATTAGTACCTTCGAAGAGGCAAATTTAGAACTGAGAACAGGCAGAGGAGATGTATAGTTGATTTGACCAAAGCCATACAATGCCGTGAGTTGCTACCATCTACCGAGTTACCAACAGCGACGATACACGCCGTAACGGCTTCAGCCCACAAGAGGGCAGAAAGCTTTCACATATCGTACAATCACACCAAGCAAAGAAAGAGTAGCATCACCATCATCCAGCGTGGCTGGCTCGTGCTTGCAGCATTACAAGCTTGCTGCACTCGAGCAGTAGATGACACTCCCAGGGGAGACCTATGACATTGTCAGTGATGCTCAAAGATCTCAGGCATTCACTTACACAAACGAACTGAAGGCTTTGCTGTCAGCCATCGTTGTCGTGACTACCGCCGTTGACGTGGTCTTTGACTGGTGCCAGACATGTGTTGCTACACAGAGTGCCGCGTAGCCTCCTGTCAGGCTGCAGCTCTGTGTGATGACTGAAGTGCCGTCCGTCCGTGTCGTGGTCGCTGTATACTCAGCCCTGGTTAAAGCCTCTGTGACATTGTAAATCTGTTTGACGGAAGAGCGTTAATGTAGACCGGCGACGAAGACGGGCCACTAATTACAGGGCTTCCTGCTCCACATCGTGGGAACGGGCCTTGGATGCACTGTATAGCGTATATGTCCGCTTCATCACAAGTGCCGATCAGAGTGCTTGACCACGAGCCGTTGGCGGCGATCTCCGGGGGAAGGAAAATGCCGACGGAAGGGTTATTGAGAGGCGAGGAAGACATGTCGTGCGAGAGCTGCGTTCGAAGCGCCAAGATGTTTGTCTCTTCATATGTACTGCGATGCCCATTGCAAGGTGCGCCACCAGCGCTTAGATGAAACCGAAGCGCTGTGTCTCCCAGGGACTGTCTGCCGGGCCACCAAATCCGATTGAAATCTAAAAGATGCACTTCTTCATACTGAGTGATAACTTTCGACTCTCGAATTATCGACAAAGCACATGCTAATCACTACGAGAAAGGCTCACAAGCACACCTTCTCTGTTGTGCCAAACGAGGCTTCGAGATACCGTATTAGGGATGCCGCCAAGGGCCGGCTTTGTTGACTCTGCCGAAAGTCGCGATTATAGCATCGACTTATGGCCGTATTCCCGATTTCACTTCACCCGTCACGCTCTATGAGAAACTCACACAAAACGCCATCCATCTGTGATCATCACGGAACGCAGAATGGACACCACAAGTTGATGTCGACTTCAACCGGTATCATAGCCCTTATCGAGTCGTTCAACGTCCACCCGCTCACGCACCCTCCACCGCCTGGAAATCCACCACATCCTCCTCCCCGAACTCTGGCTGCACATCCTCGCCATCCAAACTGCCCAGATACCAGCTCAAATCTCTCCCATCAAACTCCCTCTTCGTAAAGCCATCACCCAGATACGCAAAGCGATTCCTCTCGACATGCCTGATTTCAAAGTCCTCCCATCTCGGTGTTCGCACAGCCTCGAAGAAGTGCAGTCGTGAGCCAGGCCACATCATCGGCTCGCCGTCCGTGGTGCCCTGCTTGAACCATGATCGACAAGGCGAAGTCCAAGCTGTGCGAGGAAGGAATTTACGGCGATGTTCAGCGAAGTCGTCGACTGCGGACTGAGTGGGTGCGAAGGAGGAGACTCGTTCGTGGGACATTTTCTGGAGGAGTTGGAGGAAGTATTTGGCGACTCGTTCTGTAATTGGAAGGAAGCTGCCGTGACCGTAAGGGCCGAAAGGGCCGTTGAAGACTAAAGGGCGGTGTCAGTATAAACTTCAGTTCAGCCGTGTTAGATAACTCACTTAAGTAATTGGGGAATCCAGGGACCATGACAGAAAGATACGTCTCTGGGTAAGACTTCCATGCGTCTCTTAGATCTACGTTTTTCCTGCCGATCGTAGGGTACGGAGGTCGCCAGCTGACATCGAAGCCAGTGCCGCAAACAATCATGTCGACATCATGCTGCACGCCATCGGTTGTCTTGATTCCAGTAGCATTGATCTCCTCAATGCCAGTCGAGACGACGTTGACGTTATCCTCGCACAACGCCTCCAGATAACCATTTCCAGGTGTCGGTCTACGACAACCAACGGCATAATCTTTAGGTACGAGGATGTCGGCAATTTCTGGCTTTCGAGACAGCTTGCGTCTCATCTCCTCCTCTGCAAACTTCCGAGCATTTGCTTGCTCCTGGGACCCGTTGAGAATGAACTTGAAGCGGACGTTTAGTTCAGACTCAATACACTTCCGGTACTTGAGGTACTTGACGGGATCTTGACGAAAAATGTCCTTCTGTTGCTCCGTGTACTGGAAGTTACTACCATTTGGTCCTGCGAACCGTTGGGCGAAGCCCGCCGTGATCCATGAGGTGCTTCGCAGAAAGCAGGTCATGGAGCGAAGTAAGGGCTGTATGTTTGGCACGACTTGCACGGCCGACGAGCCGCCACCTATAACTGCGACGGTTTTCCCTTCGACAATTGCGTTCTCGTCCCAGTTGGCGGTATGGAGCATCTGGCCTTGGAACGAATCTCGGCCCTTAATGTTAGGCCACTTCCACCGATTGAGCACACCAGAAGCGTTGATGAGGACATGACATTCATCCTGTATCGTCTTTCCGGTGATCAAATCAAGCGCTGAGATGTGCCATTTCTGCTGGTCCTCGTCCCATTTGGCTCCAGTCACAACATGGCTTAGATGCATGTACTTTAGCAAATCGAACTCATCGGCGACTCGCTTGAAGTATGCCAGTATCTCTGGAGCCGTTGAGTAATAAGTCGACCATTCGCGCGGTGCCCAAGAGAATTGGTAGTTCACCGAAGGGATGTCACAGGCGCAGCCCTTTTCGGCAAGTCAGAAAGAGTGCTTTGGTTGATAGAAGCACGGTCTTACCGGATACCTATTCTCATACCAAGTGCCACCTATCGAAGGGTTCTTGTCGTAACAAACAAGCTCAATATCAAGGTCACTCAGGCTGACCTCATGAGCGAAGTTGATCGCACTCGCGCCAGCTCCAATCACGATGACTTTGAGCGAACGGCCGGTTCCGCTGGGCTGTTCCAAGATGCTGTATTGTTCTTGGTCCGACTTGAGATTGTTGTTCCCGCCATTGACAGCGATTTCATCGCTTTTCCAAAGGTTTTGTGCGGTATGCATCGTGTGGATGATGTGCTGTGATTAGGTTTTTCGGAGGTTGAGACCACAAGCAAAGATCGTTCTCAAGTAGGTGAGTGCCCTGACTAGGAGCTCGAGTGTACAGACCAAGAGGACAGCATGTGAGGCTATCAAGAATAGTTCCAACGTGTCCACCGCTTCGTCTCATCTCGAAGGTGGACAAGTGGACAAGGAACAGGTGGAGCTCCAGCGAATTCATCCCGCTCTGGGTCTACGCAGATAGTATTCCTACACATCGTCAGCATCGTGCTCTGTCTGGTTAAAGTGACTGAGTGACTGCGGGGACCCTTTGCTCAACAACAGCGGATCGAGGCCGAATGAATTGGTATAAGAATGAAGACACGTATTATGCCAGACAATAAGATCTTTGAATATCTGACTCACTAATTGTCTACAGTATATAGCGAAAGTCTTTCTGCTGACCATCGGTAAGGTCCAAAAAGGCCCCGTCGCCTTTTGGGGCACCAGCGCTTGTGTCGGCATTCTCCTGTCCCTGTGCCTTGTCACGCTTCTTATTCTCAATGATGTTCACAATCCGAATTGCAAGCAGGGTACAAGCAGCAGCACCATACCTAGCAAAAGAAGTCAGATAAGTGATCGCACTCAAGCTGTCCACTGGCAGAACCTACATGATAGCCATGTTCAGTTTTCCGGGGAAGTAGTCCGGGGCGTCCTTGCTTTGGAAGATCTGAGGTCCGATCCAGTTGCCCGCGCCATACGCCAGGATCTGTAGGCCATTGACTGTCACCTTCTTGGTATAACCAACGGTATTGTTGGAGATCATGACCATAACCAGGCCCCAGGAAGCCCCTGCGCAGCTAATGAGGTAGTAACCAACCAACAACCCTCCCGGAGCCGACAGAGGGATCGTGATCATCATGATGCCACCGACCATGGGTATCAAAATGGCGCAGATGGCTGGAAAGGTCCTATCACTCATCCAATCCGATAGAGCACCAAAGCCAAGTTTGCACACGATGTCGACGAAGCCGCCTGGCATTTGGAGGAGCAAGGCGAGGCGATTATCGAAGCCGAAAGATTTGATGATGATGGAGCCGAAGGTCGTATAGCCTCCGTTGGGTATGTTCATCAAAAGAGAAAACAACACGTAGAGGTATGTCCGAGGATCAGTGAAAGCCTCCCGAAATTGTGACCAGCTCCACACGCGATTCCCTATGCCCTGGAAATTTTCGCGGATGCGCTCGACAGCAATAGACTTCTCGCGCACGTCCAAGAAACGAGCGCTCAGTTGGTTGTCCGGCATGTAGTACACCAGAAATGCCCCAGTGACGACTGTGAGGGCTCCAAGGATCAGGAAAAGTATGTGCCAAGTGGCTAATTCTGCTCCAGTCGCTGCTGAGAGGCCATAGGCAAAGGGCGCCATTATGAGGGTACCGATACCGTTGCAGCAAAGCCATGCATTGACACGCTTGGCTTGTTCACCACGCTTGTACCAGATCGAGACGAATAGGACGAAGGCGGGTGTGATGGTGGATTCGAAGACACCAAGCAGGAAGCGTAGAGCGAGCAAGGAGGCATAGTTGTTGGCCGCAGCATGGCATGCAAGGATGACGCCCCACGCAACGATGAAGGAGGAAGTGTATTTCCCGAGCGGAAGTCGTCGTAGAAGGTACGTCGTTGGGAATTCCCAAGCAATGTAGCCGGCGTAGAATATGGACGAGATCCAGCTGTATTCGTCGGAATTCGAATCGAGGTGTGTGTCCTCACGTATACCCATAACTGAGGCATAGTTCAGGGACGTCTTGTCCGCGAACTGGATCATGTATACCCACATCAGCATCGGTAACAGATGCAGATCGATCTTGCGAAGAACGCTGCGGCCTTCTTCCGGGCTGTATTCAACTGGCTCATGGCCGAGAGCGAGCAGCGCTGGATCGCTGGTCTTGGAGACCTCTTCGACCTCGCCAACTCGATGGGAAATAGACTTGGTAATGGCATTGGATTCGTCCAGATCGTTGAGTTTGAAGTCTTCCTTTGCAGCCGTCATGTCTGCTCGTGTGATTTGACAACTTGGAGATGCAGTTGTTAATGGAAAGCTGCTGAGTTCAAAGAAATGACAACAGAGTCTGACACAGACATCCGTGGATGCCAGGCTGTATGTCAAGCCATATCTTCTGCTGCGAGGGGTACGTGGTGGAGCTCCACCGGCTGCTTCATGCTTGCTCTCTCCTCTCTTATCGCAGCGCTGACTAGTCAGGACTTTCGGTAGATAGCCGTTCTGCAAGCAGACAGTAACGTGAGACTCCACGCCCATCAAAATATCATGCGGTTAACTCCAGCTATCAGGTACTTTTACGTGTGTGAGCGGGACAAGAATACCGAAGAGTCTACGGCAAAGTTCGTGCCATCGAAAATGACTCAGTTCCAGTAAGCAAGTAGATTCGAGAAGAAGGTAGTGTTGGTCGGCACGGCTCTTCAATTGGAAGGCAGCAGACCAACAAATGTTTCGGTACGTTGGCACGCAGGTGTCGAGCGTGGGCGAAGGAGGCAAGGAGGCAAAGGAAAGGAAAGGATTGTTTTGATTGCCAAAGGTCGAAGAACTGAAGTCGACTTTTGGCCAAACGTTCAACTAATCCTTCCCAGCCTCCTTTTGTGCCAACCACAAGTACTTCAACTAAGCCAAACCTGAAAGACACCTGACGACAACGTTGTGTTCTCCGTGTGCTTGGACGTCCACGCACTCAGAAACGCCGCCGGCAACGTTTCAAGTTCATCGCTATCTGACCGATGCGACTGGGGAGCAGCGGCCAAGGATGACGGCGAGGATGTACTCAAGTACCCTGGCCGCCCTCCACCGGGGCCTTATCTCGACTCCACCTCCATCTGTCCGCCTCCACCATATCAACGAAGGCACGACCCAGGGATGAGATACTCTGCCGTGGCAGTGCTCTGATTTGATCATGCCAGATACACCTTATGCCTGTCCAAAATGCAGCAAGGTGTTTACAAGACGTGTATGTGATTGCAAGTTTTGTAGGCAATAGCTGCAACAATAATGGTCGCTGATTCTCTGAACTGATTAGGAGAATTTGGATCGCCATCACCGCGCTCGTGAGTCTGGCCCATATCACCAGTCTTGCTGAATAGAATCATCTGCTTGAGTGCAGAGACTAATATCTTTGCCAAGAGCATTCATCAGGCCCTCGGCCTTTACGTTGTGAGACCTGCGATGCGCCCTTCACCAGACGGTGTGTCTCTAAGAGGTCGTGAGCTGTTATTGATGACTGACAGACAGCATAGAGATGTGCTGAAACGACATGTGCAGCGATGTACACGGAGTGCAACTACTCGGTCAAGGCGGCTTCAGTCAGTGCCTTCTCCCGTCAGCCCAAACAAACTAGGCGCAGAACCAGAATCGGAAGCACCAGATTGTTCTCCTGGAACACAGGCTGAGATACACATCACCGGAGACTTGACACAGAACGATGCCGAAACCAGCTCCAACAGCGCCTTCCAGCATGCAACACCGGCGGTTGAATGTCTTCCCTCACCAATGGCTTCTGTGGAGGACCCTTTGTCTGCGTCTACCGATGCTGTAGCAATACTTGTCTACCGCTATGGTGTCAGTCTCAGCACAGCAACGGCAGCTACCGCTGCGTACTTTGTGCACATTCACCCTAGCCTTCCTATTGTACACCCTCCAACGTTCTCCTTGGTGACGACTCCCACTTCCCTAGCATCGATAATCGTCGCCATTGGGATCATGTATAGCCCACAGGCGTCACAACTTCGCGCGACCAGTGATCGCATGTGGCAAAATGGCCTTGAGGAGCTCGAAGCGTTGGTAAGCCAGCAATTGCCATGCTTTGTGGGACACTAGCTGACCTACGTATTCGGCAGGTGAAAGAGCAATCCATGTTCTACAAGTCTCCATGGACCTTACAGTCATGGATACTTCACATCGTATACGCATTCTACTTCAACGATGTTTCAGTACCCGCAACGTGCTGGGCAAAACACCAAAGCCTCATTCGAGTAGGTTTGTATATGTGTGGCATGTATACTAGCATCACTAAAGCATCACAGCATCTTCGCTCCTGCTGTTTGATGAACGAGCAACTGACTTTGCTCGGCAATGACATCCAGCCGTGGCTTACAAATATAACCCAGTCACTGCTATGGACTTCGGAGGAGGTCTCCATGGCCTGGCACGCCTTCGTGCTACATGAGACGTATCGACATTGCGTCTTTGCCGTGCTGTTTCTGGATCACCAGATGACAACGCCATGCAACACCCGACCTTCCATGTCGAATGTTGAGGTTGGTTGGGATCTGCCAATGCCGATCGCCCTCTGGGATGCTTCGTCTGCGGAAGAGTGGTTCACTCGATCACAGGAGCATGTTCAGCGAGGAATACTGTCCGACCCCTTGGATTCCAGCTCCATGCTGTCATTGGCTAGAGCAACACAACTGCTTCTGAGTGCTTCGCCTCCGCCGTTTGTACTGGAGCGCTTGTCAAGTTCCCCATTTGCGGCTGCGTGTATGCTTGTGAGCCTGGAGTCTCTCGTTCGAGACTTTACGACATGTTGCTACCGAATGCCTCCTGTCTTGCCGGACCCGTCAGCCTATCATGTACTTTCGCCCGAACAGAATCGGGCCATCAACGCTGCCGTCAATACTATGCTAGGAATTGTGGCCAAGAACAACGCCATATCGCCGCAGCTGAGAGGCTTCCTTCGCCTAAGCTGCTGGTTGACCCGGATCCAGCTGTGCGAGCCAGATGACCTCATAGTATCGGGCATCGTCGACGACTCGCTTTTGGCCAGCCTCAGTACATCGGCGCACTTGGTTCTGGGCAGCAGCGTCGCATTACGAAGAGCTGTGGCTCCTGTGCGCCGACGGTTCGGCGAGGATTGTTCCTTTCAGGCCTGGGATGAAATGTTGAAAGCACTCGGCGTCATCACTGAATCCGTGCAAGATCGTAAAGCTTCACAATCGCCATGGATGACGGTGCTTGCTTCACGGCTGCTTCTCATGCTATGGCGAACACTACGCCGAGCCATTGGCGAGATCGAACAGAGCAAGGCAGGCAGCGGCTCGCTTCTAGGCCAGCAGCAGGAAGGCCTCGGGCTCGCCAGTGTTCTGTCATCTGTAATCGTCGAGAGGATCACACAAATGCTCAAAGCCCAGCGTACGTCAGGAGCCCAAGAGCTAGAAGATCACCAAACGATAGAAAGAGCTTTTGTAAGGAAAATCACTGAAATCTTCTCTGGGATCAAAACACCCGTGAGTGATGCCATAAGCAAGATATGGCGGGAAATCGCGTCTCTGATCGATGGTGATCAGAGCGAGCCATTGTCCGGAGGATTGGACGGGTGGATGGCGTGAACACTGCAGTGCATACGTTCTGCTCAGAGATGAGAATCCCCTGGAGAAGCAAGCAGCTCCTTTACATTCGACATAATGGACTGTGGCATGTCAAGGTGTTCATGGTCCTACGCCGGAATTACTACACGGTATCGTACGAACAGATGAATAATGAACTTATGCATCTCCATGCAAGTCGGCGGAAAAGTACCGACAGTGCAGAGGGATGTGATGCTCTCGGCGGACGAAATGGAAGACATGATTGGCTGCGGCGGAGGAAAGGGATGAAGCCGCAGCACAGCTGAACTGTACACAGAAGCAGTACTTGCTCGAGGCCGGTTTTCGATAGAATGTATTTCTCAGCATTTGATCTGGAAATTTTAAGAGACTGACTTCTCCAACTGCTTTAAAGTCGTCCGCCTCAAACATGAAAAAGACTGGAGTCGATAAGGAAAACAGTTAGGAAGATCTCTATCAGTTGAAGACGCTCAATCCTCAATCGCAAGTTTCAGTTTACTTGATAAATCTTTTGCACAACAGGAAGCAACTCAAGCATGGCACCAACGACGTATTTGGTGACAGGTGCGAACAAAGGCGAGTGGTGGGAATCATTGAAGGAGACGGATTTGGCTGACGATACATCAAGGACTTGGCCGAGGGATAGCAACAGCTCTACTACGCCGTGAAGGTGCAACCGTCGTTGCAGCAGTCCGTGATCCAGAACACGAGACTGCGAGATCCTTACAGGAGCTTTCTCGTGCTCAGAATGCACGCCTCATCGTCGTTAAGATTGACGCCGCCTCGAAGACCGATCATGCCGCCGCCGTGAAGCAAATCGAAGAAAATCACCACGTCAAAACTATAGACGTCGTCATCGCAAATGCAGGTATCATCAACAGCACCCCACTCGTCCGAGAATCGACATTTGAAGGACTCCTGGAACACTACCAAGTCAACACCGTCGGTACAGTCATGCTCTACCAAGCAACTCGAACTCTACTGCTGGAGTCGAAGAATCCGAGGTTCATCGTGACATCCGGATCTGGCGGGAGCATCTCACAGCAAGACAAGATCCGTGTTCCCCTGGCGGAGTATGGGCCTAGTCGAGCTGCTGTGAATTGGCTGTTTCGAAAGGTACATTTCGAAGAGGAGAGGATTGCAGCGGTTTTGGTTGATCCTGGGTAAGTTCCCCCATGTTACGATTAAAAGAATGGTCGCCTCTGACGGTTGGTTCGAAGGCTCATCGATACGGACACTGGTGGCTCTGCCGTGACAAAGTTTGGGATGGATCGGTCGGTCTTGCAGTCGGTCGAGCAGAGTGCGGAGAACTATTTGAAAGTGGTAAGTCTTGCTCGACGCTCGATGAGATAATGCTCTGATATGTTCATAGGTCGATAATGCGAGCAAGGAAAATAGCTCTGGCAAATTCACCTCGGCGCCGAGTCAGGCTGAGTTGGAGTGGTAGAATAGGAGACTTCCATCGCGGCAGTCCTTCGGTTTGGGCTCGTCTTTTGGTTCTTGTAGCACATGAGTCTGGTTTTGCAATGGAAATTGATGCATTCTCCGTCATTTGTCGTGCTGAGAACGCTAATGTTGCTGAAAATCTCCAATCGACTTCATCGACCAGTCTCGACTGTGCGTCTAGAAGTCTGACAACTCGTGCAGATTGGAGGACATCTGTTTGTGTTCTGCTTTCGAGCATTGCCTTTTGTGTCTATGGAAGCATAACGAGAGAAAGAAAAAGTGGTGGCCACGAAAAGAGTGACGTTGACAATCTAGTTATTTTTAGACACGCGTTGAGAAGCTCGTCTTGGCGCGCCGCTTCTTCCTTCTGCGCAAGGGCTGGGTTTGGGTCAACAAGACAACAACGAAGAGTCGACATGGCTTCTATTACATCGGATCACAATGCCATGAGCTTGGCAGAGACAATACTTAAGCAGCTGAAGTCGAGGTGTCTTCTCATACCTTCATTCCTCACCTCGGACGCATACCTGATAACCTCCCAAAACCGCCATAACAGATGATGGAAATCATTAACAGCATCCTCCAGACACCACAGGCTGTGTTCAGACGGAAGCCGTTGGTTTGGGCACTGCTGGCTGCCGTCGGCACCATTTGGACTGGCAAGACACTGGCCAGTCTCGGATCCTTCGCCTGGCTGCATTTTGTCCATCGCTCCTCGCTAGAACGATACAAGTCGAAGACGCCGTGGGCTCTTGTCACTGGATCATCGGACGGCATAGGCAAAGCTTTCGCGCACGAGCTCTGTAGTCGAGGCTTCAATGTTGTCCTGCACGGCAGGAATGAAAAGAAGCTCGAAAATGTCAGGGCAGAGCTTCTAAAAGAGCATCCAACACGAAAAGTTCGCATTTTTCTTTTCGACGTCGCAGTCTCTGCCGGCGATCATGCGCGACTTGATGCAGCTGTAGATCAGCTGGAAGACATCGACCTGAAGGTGCTTATTAACAACGTCGGCGGCGGAGCGAAGCGCCTTTGGATCCCTCTGCAAGACTATTCGGGCGACGACACCCGCCTTTTCCTGGATATGAACTGCCGTTTTCAGGCAGAGCTGACCCAACGCCTGCTGCCACGTTTGATCAAGAATGGCCCATCATTGATCATGAACATTGGAAGCTTTGTGTCCGAACTCCCGGCTCCTTACATTTCTGTGTTTGGCGGCGCGAAAGCTTTTGGCAAGGCCTGGTCACGATCGCTGCATTTCGAAATGCTCACCGAAGGCCATGACGTTGAGGTCCTACAAGTGCAAGTAGGAATGGTATCCACGCCGAACGAGCCCCGGCCAGAGAACATCTTCGTTCCGAACGCCCGACGAATGGCTCAGTCAGCCCTCGACAAAGTCGGGTGCGGCCGAAGCGTCGTCTTTGGTTACTGGCCACATCAGCTGCATTGTAGCTTGTTGGTGGATTTGCCGAGTGTTGTTCGTGACAGGCTTTTAATGAGAATCGTGAAAGGCTTAAAGGAACAAGAGGAACGAGACCTGAAAACGGAATGAAGAGAGGCCATACACTTTCACCGCGGAAATAGGCTAAGGAGCCAGTGGCTGCGACGAGCTGCGAGCTAGTCTTGCGAACGAAATACTCTGTTGGACACCCTCAGCCTCGTATTTGGGTTTCTATAGCTGCTCTATCTGGACATAGCGGCTACAATCGGGACGCTGCTGTGCCATCGCGCTGCCACCATGCCATCGTGCCGCTACAATACCACCCGGCTGCGATATGACGTTGCCCGTCGACTTACCAATCGGGAAGGCATGGTGAAATGTCCACGTTTCCCTCTCCCTCGCAATTCAAAAGCACCATAGGTCTCCGAGCTTTAGACAGCTGGGCCCAGTATTCCCTTAAGATGAAGTCGAGCGTTTTCTTCCCATTTGTGGCAGCCTTGCCATCTGCTCTGGCCTTCTCAAGTGCCACACGACCTTTTACCGCGCCTCTAATAACTCCAACACCAAGTGCGACAGTCCCTTACCAAGTACAGCCCGTGAGCTCTCAAGTCCCAGCCAACACACATGGACCCAAAGCCCCTCGCAACGTAGCTTTCATTGCCTACGCATACGACGAGCAGTGGGACGCAACTAATACTTCGAAACCTGCGATCGATGTCGAGGCTCTGTATCAGGACAAGACCGGAGTTGATACCCTAATCATCAATCCGTGCGATGTGAACGAGAAGAATCCTGCTGTACCACAATGCCACGGATGGGACTTTACCAACTCCACATATTGGGAGCAGATTTGGCCTAGTTACCAGAGTGTCCAAGCGAACGGTATCCTTTTGATCGCCAGCTATGGCGGCTACCTCTCAAATACATTCCAGCTGCTCAATCAAGATTGGGACACATATTATTCGCCTATCGTCAACATGCTAAAAACTTACAAGTTCGACGGCATCGACTTCGACATTGAGCCATCGAACAACAATAGTTATGTCCCTCCTCTTTCTCTCGCTCTTAAGCTGGTCAACTCGATCCGTTCAGACCTAGGCCAAGAATTTATCATCACGTTCACGCCAGTGTCGTTCGATATATACGAAACCGGTGGCTCGATGTATTCTGGATTCTCTTCGTAGCAGCTAGACCAGGAAGCCAACACCACTGGAGCCGACGGGACAGTCATGAAGAGCATCAACTGGTTCACTCCTCAATTCTACGCCGGTGGTGGTGCGGTTAATAGTAGTGCTTATGAGGATATGATCAGTAACGGCAACTGGGATCCTAGCAGGGTAGTCATGTTAGCACCTGGTACGAGTGCTGTGGGTAGTGGATGGGTCAACATCACGACTTTGGAGGCTGTTGCAAAGAATTTCACAAGCACCTACGGCCAGGGCAATTTTGGCGGTGTCGGTGGCTATGAGTACGCTCGTGCTGGTGAGAGTGACGGCCTTACAGACTGGCAGTGGTTCAAAGACGTGAGTCAAGCACAAGGCATTGCGACATCTTGAGAGACCGGCCTGTCGAGCAAGTCGGATACTTGAAGATCGTATCAGTCAAGCATGAAGCAGCATTTGTTTACATCTCGACCATCTTTTGACCGTTTCTCGAATTCTATGGTACTCAGCCTGCCACAATCTCCCACGTGCCATGGTTTTCCGATGCCTGGATTGGGAAAGCCCACTATTCGCCTAGCCAACCACCACGAACCAGATCCAGGGTTCTGCTGCCCTATGGAAGCAGTAGAGAGGGTATTATAGTCAAAGCCCCGTCAGTTCGCAGCAAATGGCGCTGATCAACGCTCGTCCCTCTCAAGTGCCGACGTTTGATATCGCAATGGCTACCGTCCACGAGCCATCGCCAGCCTTCCACGTTGCTACGCCGATCATTGTGCAATCCAGAGTGGCGTTATCGACGTTGGTGTTGCTCCAGCCTGCTGTGACAGCCACTCAAAATGGTCAGCGGGATCCCAGAGGGTGCTCGTGGCAAGACGAGTGGCTGTGAGCACGTTCAGACAAGGGTACCAGATGGCTGTCCGGTTGTAAACCGGTTGCTTCTCCGTCCAGCCTTCGTCATATCTGCTTGTATAAAGAACTGCTACGATGGACCCTTGGGAGAGGTCGCTGCTGTGGCAACGGCATGCTCTTCATGACAAGATCTCTCATCTACGGCCTGTATATCTATCTTCAATTGACTCGATTTTCGGACGCTCTACCAGTTCTTTCAAACAACACTGTTGCCTCCACGAATACGACCGTCAACGACAGCAAGAAACTTACAACAGAGGCTACATCAGCTTGGTGGTTTCCCAATCTTGACCACACCTCAGGCACCGTCCGCGACTACGTACCATTCCTCAGGACCCCCGACTACCCAGTCTACAAATCTGTCTCATCGGGAAACTCGGCAGCTTTTCGCAAAGCCCTGTACGCAGATGGTCCGAATGGAGACCGTGATAACTTCTGGCTCGCCGGTCAGCCCAGAGTCGTCTACCTCGCACCTGGAACATATGTTCTCGATTCAACAATCTACCTCGACACAGATACCGTCATCATTGGTGACGCAGCAAATCCGCCTACCATTCGAGCCGCTGCAGGTTTCTCAGGCGACTATCTCATCTGTGGCGGACAGGGTGGCGATACTGCTTCCGGGGGAGAGCTTCACTTCTCTGTCATGATCAAGAATATTGTTCTAGATACGAGCTCGAACTCTGCCAAGACCGACTTCGTAGCATTGAGCTGGCGTGTAGCTCAGAACACGGCGCTTGCCAACGTCAAGATCCAGATGCCATCCAATGCCCACACTGGAATTTGGATGGGCCAGGGGTCGGCTGTCTCTGTCGGCGATGTCAAGTTCTATCAGGGGAGCGTTGGCATGCACTATGCTGGGCTTCAACAGGCCACACTCAAGAAGATGGAGTTCCATGGCTGCACTACCGGCATCAGGATTGACAATGGATTCACAGTCAACGTACATGCACCTATCTTCGACACAGTCGGCTTCCCGATCGTTCTCAACTCAGGAGGTCCTTGGGTATCCGTCATCGACGCCATCTCTACAAATTCGGGGACCTTCTTCACCAGTAATGTCGGATACCCGAATTTTATGCTGGAAAACATCTCGCAAAGCGCTGGCAACTCACCGGTCGTGGTCGTGGGCGGTCAGACGAAGATCAAGTATCAGACATCTGTCGGCACATACGTCTACGGCAATACCTATGGGGCAAACCCAATCTACCAGACCGACCCACAGATCAAGTCGGTGCCGCGTCCGGCATCCCTAGCTCCTGGCGGAAAATACCCAGCTTTAACGGCACCACAGTACCACTATGCTGTGGCAGGTGATGTTGTCAACCTCAAGAATCCGAAACGAAATGGTGGCTTCCATTTGTATGGAGATGGATCTACCGATGACACCTCGGCCTTGCAAGGAGCGCTCAACTTTGCTGCTTCGCAAGGTAAAATCGCTTATCTACCTTACGGGATCTATCGCGTGTACAAGACAGTCACGATTCCAGTTGGCACACGACTGATCGGTAATGCCTGGTCGACGATATCTGGATTTGGTCCTGCCTTCAAAGACGAATCAAAGCCAACGCCGATTGTAAGAGTCGGTGCTCCCGGAGCTGTTGGAAAGGCAGTCATCCAAGACATGCGGTTCACCGTCGGCGAAGCTCTACCCGGAGCCATCATACTGCAAGTCAACATGGCTGGTCACCAGCCTGGCGATGTGGCTATTTTCAATTCTCTCCTCACTGTTGGCGGCACTCGCGATACTCAGCTCAGCTGTTCGAGCGAAGCCAACTGCAAAGCTGCATATCTCGGCCTTCATCTGTCAACAACATCATCAGCATACATTGACAACTTCTGGTCCTGGCTCGCTGACCACGCTTCCGACTCCAGCAACGTCAGAACCCGCACAGCCGGTAAAGGCGGAATTTTCGTCGAAGCAAGGAAAGGCACCTGGCTCGCCGGAGTGGCGAGCGAACACTGGTGGCTCTACCAATTCAACTTCAACAACGCCAAAAACATCTTCATGTCCCTGATTCAGTCAGAGACGAACTACAATCAAGGAACAAATGCCGTGGTGACCCCTCCCTCTCCTTTCGTGGCGAGACCGAAGGATCCCGCGTTTGCATGGTGTCATGGTGAGGCGAACAGCAGCGACTCGGATTGCCCAATGGGCCCTGCACAGTTCTACGATGGCGGAGACTCGATTTTTCAATACGCGGCTGCGAGTTGGAACTTCTTTGGTGGTGAAGAGACGACAATGAATGTCATACGGAAAAGTCCAACGAATCTACATCTTTATGGACTTTGCGACCACGACGCCAAGTATATCATGAGGCTTCCGGACGGATCACGCTTTGGGAACGGTCCAAACGACGGATTTGGCGGAAGTTGGGGAACTGTTGTTGCTGAGTATTCTACCGCGGCTGCGTGAAGCTGGGATGAGGTTTGTTTGGTGATTGCGTGACGATGAGAAGAGATACCCCAAGGTTGGTCACATGGATGGAGTTTTTGGCGTGCAGCTTGGAAAGATGGCTTTTTGGACGGGCGGTTGGCTTGCATTGGTCAGTCTTACTATTATAAAGGCAAAGTTGGAGAAGGCTACTGGAGCCGGAGCGTTCCTCGAGACAGCTATTAATTAATCAAGTGTAATGTTTACCAACAGCAAGAGAACAATTGAAATCATGAAAACTTGCATCTACCCAATTCGCCGATATAGTCTTGCTGATTGCTTCGTTTGCCAGGGTGTCTGGCCTGCAAAACTCTGCAATCAAGATGCACACGTGCTGATGTACGTCGCAGTAGTGAAGGATCACTGAGACACCTCTAACGATTTTCGAATACAAGCCGATCCAAGAAGAAATGGTCCCCGAGGGGAGAGATGGTGAAATCTGATGTGCCGCAGCCTCTTCGCCACATGTTTGGTCAAATCGTCCACCATGAGCTACGGCTAGATCCATCCCCAGACCCAAACCGCGGCTCGTGGCGATGAGCCGAAGGATGGCTAGCAGCTCCTTCCTAATCCGGCCAGAAGGCAGAAAACAAGCTTTTTGTGCGACCGAACCGGGCAGCGATCAGCACGCTCGGCCGTGCAGAAAAAGCTTCTATGCAAGTCTAAGTTGAAGCTCTTGCCCATGTTCTGGACAAAAAGCTTCCCACATCTGACCGCATGTCAGTTGGGCGTTTCTTCAGCCAATCTGCACGCTTCCATGATGCGGGGAGTTCCAGCCACGACATTGTCCGTTAAAGATATAAGTTCAAGCCACCAAGCTGCTACTATCGCTGCGGCGCGTACCACGAGACTGTGTAGCCGCTTCGACCATATTTCTTGAGCACCACGTGCGGCGTGGAAGTCCCAAAGAAGGTATCTATACGTGGGCCAGAACGCCAGGTGCGGGCGGTAACTTCCACTCCGACAGCTTGTGGAACATAAAGTAACGAATGGGCACAATTACACCAACTCTGGGCCCGAGGATGGTCTTTTGAAGAAGGTTTGAAGGGAGGGTTGGTATTGTAGTATGCTAGAGAGTTGGCGAGATGGGGCTAGGACAGGCTGCTTGCCCTGAAGCCATGAACAGCATAAAGACGAGCGCATATCCTGGTTGAGTTGGAATTTGCTCCAGCTTTATCGACATTGACACTTCCACTCCACCGCCAAGACAGCAACATGAAGTTTTTCATCCCGGTCGTTGGCCTCATGGCCACCTCGGCCCTGGCTCAAGGCGTCGAACAGCCGATCGTCGACGCCATCACCGTCATCCAAGCACGCACCCAGCGAGTTGACACCGATGTCCTCGCCTGGAGCGGCGACCGACGAGGCTTCCGCCCAATCTTCTTCGACAGCCAGAAGCTCCTCAAGTCCATCAATAACGGTACCAATGTCGCCAACGCCAACGAGTCTCTCGACTTCAACGGCGCGGTCAACGTCGGTCTCGCGACCCTCAACCTCATCCCAGTCGTCAACCAGACCCTCATCGACTTCATCGCCACCATCCCCAAATTCAACAAGCTCTACCTGACCCCAACTGTCCTCGACTCCCTCAACCAGCAAAAGGCAGCCTCCGACGCTTTCTCTGCCGCCGTCATCGCCAAGGTTCCTGATGGTCTCAAAGACCTTGCTGGCCAAGTCACCGCACCAATTGATGAGGACTTCGATGTTTCCATTGCGGCCTTCCAAGCTGCGGTTGATTCCCTTCCAAAGTGGCCACACCACCCGAAGGGCTGGACTGGTTGGGGCTGGCGTTGGGGAAAGGGCTGGGGTTGGTATTAAATTGCTATCATTGCTCTTATCTTGATGTAACGACGATATGTGGCATTGTTGAGCAATGCTGGCACGCTCAAGAAGTCACGATCATAGATTATGTATGCATGAAAAAGTCTGTCAACTGCACCAGTTTGTGTTCGTGTTGTTCTCGAATGCAGTTTTCAAAGACCGCAAATCAAGCATCTGAACTAGTTGAAGGAATTGACGCATTATTTTGATCATACTTCATCAGCTGTTCAATTTAGATTCCAGAGAACGCAATAGAGACTGCACAGCCCTTGTCAACCACTTTTCCCATCCAACTTCCAGAAGCGGCAATTTCGTCCGCTGCACAGACACAATTACACCAATCACAAAACGGTACGATACCGAAACCCACTAGCGTCCGCTTCACATGCTGAAATGCGGCCGCTGGCTCCAAGTCACGCTCGTACAGATGTCTCATCAACGGCTTCACTCATTGTGCGCCTCGCCTTGATGGGTATCTCTCGCCATGGCCGCTCAAGGCAGCAGGATAACGACAATGACAATAGCGCAAGGACACGGCGATGGAGATTACATTATGTCCATAGGGAAGATATATGAAGACGATGACTTCCCCTGCAATGCCTCTCCCAAACCAAACGCACCGCTCAGCCTTACCGTAGCACGGAACTCGCTACCAATACAGACTCGTTACATACAATGACCGGCTCAAACGAAACTATCCTCGTCACCGGCGGCTCCGGCTTCGTTGGAGCCCACTGCGTTCTTCAAGGAATTCAAAAGGGATACCAAGTCCACACGACTATCCGCTCCCTCTCGCGCGCAGACGATGTGAAGCAAATGCTGCGAAATGGAGGGGCCACTGAGGCTGAGATCTCCAACGTCAAATTCTTCGCAGCAGACTTGATGAAAGATGATGGCTGGAAAGACGCTTGTGCAGGATGCTCGTATGTACTGCATGTTGCTTCGCCATTCCCTGCTGGTGCACCAAAGCATGAGGATGATCTCATCGTACCTGCAAGGGAGGGTACTCTGCGGGTGCTAAGGGCGGCGAAGGAGGCTTCGACAGTCAAAAGGGTCATCATCACCAGCTCGATGGCAGCAATCGGATACGGATACGGCGACGTAGTCAAAACAAAAACCTTCACCGAAGAAGACTGGACCATCCTCGATGGCCCTCGGGGCGAGACAATCGCTCCTTACCAGAAAAGCAAAGCCATCGCCGAACGAGCAGCATGGGACTGGATAGCCAAAGAAGGCAGCCCAATGGAACTGACCGTCATCAACCCAGTCGCCATTTTCGGACCAGCGCTCAGCGCCGACTTCTGCGCAACCTTGCAGTTCATCTCCCGTATGCTAAACGGCCAGTTGCCCGCCATGCCGAACCTCGCCTTCGAGACCGTCGACGTGCGAGATGTCGCGGACTTACATTTCCGCGCCATGACGAGTCCGAAAGCAGCGGGACAGAGGTATCTGGCTTTACGAGATGGAGGACCCATTTCGTTGCAAGGGATTGCGCAGACGCTGAAACGGGGGCTGCCTGCAGAAGAGACGAAGCGAGTGGGCACGATGGTTATTCCGAATTTTGTTATGCGGTTTGCGGCGATGTTTCAGCAGGATATCGCGTTGATCGTTCCGGAGATCGGGAGGGTAAGGAAGTGCAGTAATGCGAAGGCAAAGAGGGATTTCGGGTGGCAGCCCAGAGATGGAGACGAGGCGATTCTGTCGGCGGCGAGGAGTCTGCAGAAGTATGGTGTCGTGAAACCGTAACAGATTTCATTTCCCCAAAAAGGGCCATATCTATTGTCGAAAGTGTAAAAAGACTCGTCTATCATGAATATTATATGCACAAATGCCAGATGATCAGCCTATTCTCATTAATTCCCATCCATTAGATTCCAGAGTCAATCTTCTGGTAGTATGCATCCTGGTAGTAGGAGCTCCAGGCGGAGCATTCGTTATCGTAGGTTGTCTTATCGGGCATCGTCATGCTGCTGGGCGATTCGAGGAACTGCATACCGAGACCTTCGGAAATGTGCCATGCGATGTGGCAGTGCATCAACCAAGTGCCTGAGATAGGATTAGTGATACTGTCGTCAATTGTTGAGTGGAAGACGAGACATACCTGGGTTGTTCGAGTTGAATGCAAGAGCGAGCCACCCTCCGGCGTAAATCGTAGCCGTATCTCGTCGAGTGGGGTTGTCGAAGTTGAGGGTGGCGTTGCTAGAATCGTAGGTGCCTGTGCCTTGACCAAGGACTACGTAACGGTCAGCGCAATTCCTCAACTGCTGGTTTGCATAGACTTACCGAAGAAGTCATGTCCGTGAAGATGGACAGGATGAGGAATAGGTGGGATTCCATCAGCCTGCTGGATAAGCCAGTAGTTCCAAGATCCTGAGTCGACAGTGGGCACCAGGTTGATAGATTCAGGGTAGCTGGTGTTGCCATTCAGGACGTAAGACATGGTTGGGTTCTCCCAGTCAACGTTGATGGAGCTGTTCAAGGACCAGACAACGATGGAGTTGCCGTTTGGAACAACAACGGCCTGAGTCAAGTTGACGTTCATGTTCTGGAGCTGGGACTGGAAATCGCTGCTAGGAACTGATTGGCTCCAGTATGGAGTCAATGGGCCAGGCTCGGTGCAGCTTGTGGGCTCGGTGAACCTAGAAAAGACGAATTAGTTCAGGTCATCTCCTGAGGCCTGCGTTCAATGCTTACTCAGTGCTGTATGGGGTATCAGCTGGCTCGCTGGAGTAAGACCAGATGGCACGGCCATAGAAATTGTTGCCGCTCTGACAAGCTTCGGACACGTTACTTCGGAACCAATAATTACCGGCGCTCTGGTTGGCAGTGATGATCACATCGTAACGCTGGAAGTAATGTGAGCAGAGGATGAAAAAGCCAGTCGATTGAACAAACCTGTCCAATGCCCATGATCAACCACTCAGCAGCGAACGGCTGGATTGGAACGAAGTCGGCAGTGATGACTTCGAATGGATGGCTGTCGAGAGAAACTTGGACGTCTAGTCGCCAAGAGTTAGCAATGTATCCAGAGCTTCGAATCAGCAGGGGCTGAAGACTCACAGTTGTCAACAGACATGTTGATCAGTCGCAACCTGTACTTCTTTCCAGACTCCATGGTGACCTGCGAGTAGTTGCCGTTTCCATTCGCATCCTGGTTGGTACCGTTGATCAAGCTAGAGTCCGAAGTTAGCGTCCACGTGTGTCCACTCGGCAGAACAATGGTCCATCTTACAGATTGTCCGCTGGTGGTACCGACAACTTGTTCTGCAGTTGTGCGCTGGCAATAGCATTCATCTGGAAAGCAGTCTGATAATACCACTCGTTGATTGGGTAGACGCCAAGATCCTCGTCGTAGTTGGCGGTTGCAGGACCATCAAAGATCATCGTGCCGACAGTGCCATCTCCGTATTGTGAGCTGTAGTGCGCATGGTACCAGGATGTACCGAACTGTGTGACGTTGAAGGCGTATGTACGAGACTGGCCAGGTGCGAGAGGGCATTCGCTGACACCGTTCACACCGTCGGCGCCAGGGCTGTTGTATTGTCGGACGCCGTGCCAGTGGATCGATGTGCCGTTGTCCTAGAGGCAAAGAGTGGTGAGTACATCTCCGAGCGAAGGCATAGTGGAAAGCCTACCTGCAGACTGTTTGTGACGTTAATTGAGAGATAGTCGCCCCAGCTTGCTCTAGAAAAATGTCAGTTCTTGTTCTTTGATCGTTTCTGCGCGCTGGGTGCATACCGGATGGTTGGCCCAGGGTATTGACCATTGATGAGGAAGCATATCCTCTCGCCGTGGCCATCTGGGTTGCATGTGCCGTTGGTGATCTCGAGGTTGTAAGTGACGGTATTGCCCGTGGCAGGGAACTTTTGGTCGAAGTCTGTCGCGATGCTGAAGCCATCAGTCCAGCATGCTCGGGTCAAAGCGCCGTTTGTGCCTGTAGAAATACATCAGACTTGATCGACCACGTCAGTGTTTGGTAGACTGACATGCTCCGTCGGCAGTATCCCGAGTCGCCAGATCCGCGGATTGGGGGAGAGCAAATGCTTGAGAGCACAGCGTGAGAACGCAGCTGAGAACCGGCAAAGATGAGAACGCGGCCTTCATTATGGGCAACAGCAATGCCAAGCGAGTGTATGAAGACAACGCAGAAACGAGAGGCGCGAGACTGAGCTGTCTCTGGGTGTGTGTTCGTGAAAGCAATTGAAAGGCCAAGAAAGAAGCGAACGAGATAGTGGAAGTCAAGTACAATTGGAATGGCCGGAGCACTGTAGTTCAACCAAAGAAAAGAGGGCCCTCATTTTGCAAGATGCCGTGATCCGATGCGTACTGGATGCTGTGAGTGCCTAGTTTGGGACATTTCACGTGTGCCGGATCCTGGAGCGACTCAGAAACATGTGCATTGGAGGGTAGCGGCACCGTGCTTCGAAAGGCAATTGGCCGCACGTTCCGTTGTTGTCGACAGCAGCCGCGATGGTAAGAAGTAGCGCGTCCAGAGGATCCAGTACAGGAGGCTGACTTGTAGATCGTGGTTCGACGGACCCACTGGATCTGTGGAGGATGTGATGAGGCTCATGAGTTTGTTCCAACCTCACATCGACCTGGAGGAGCGTGTTGTTCACGATTCTTTCGCTCTTTCAGAGCCATGATCCAGTATGTCGTCTCGCGCTCTCGTTGTTGATCGGCGACAACGACACGCTCGACTTTGTTGGTCGGAAGAAGTCGTCGCGGCCGTCCGCGTCACCTTCGAAACGTCTTCAACGGTCAAGGAGGCAAGCTCAACGCTAGGAAGAGACAAGCAATTCAAGCAGTCGGCGACCACGTTATTTGACGTCAGCACAGCGAGGCAGCTATTTCAAGCGTGCCGATCTCTCACTTGGCAATCTCCCTTTATCTGTGACTTTTCCTGAACAATGCGTGGTGTTTCGAGGAAGAAACGCGACGAAGAAGCAGACGTGGGGCTTCCTCTCCTTTTTTGTCAACACGCCAGCTGAAGTCAGCAACGATCGGCGTCGAATCGGGTCTGATATTTCAGCCATCGGACGTCTCCTCCTGTCTTCCGAGCCCCAACGGTTGCATACGTCTTACAGTGTGCACAAAATCTCGCATCTTTTGTTCCAAGTCGCTGTCAGAGGCGGCTGTTGTCGAACAGTTCCGGGTCCAGGAGTTCAAAAGCAGCTTGAGGGGCAAGATTTGAAGGACGTCTTCCGACTGGCTTCAAGTCACAAACACGCCGTTCGAAGGGATGTCTTGTTGCGAGAACAGCAGCAGAAGTCGCGAGGGTCGCCGATGCAGTGAAAAGGGCGCTCTAGTCAATTCAGTGACTTTTCGGTTCTTCCCACCTGCCCTGAACCATCCGTACGGACGAATCAACCCCGTGGTCGACGATAATACTGCGAAACAACGGCATTATACTTGGAGTTGAAGAACACTAAAATGTCGGTCAGTCTGGATCCGCACCGAAACGTACAGCGAGCCACCCACGAGTGTCTGGAAGGCTTGCAACCTCGATGCAATTGCCGTCGGCAACATTCACAAGATCTGTAGCTCCAATCACTGTCCCAGCGACGTCCAGAGCCGCGGCTCTGACATACTGGAATTTATCCAAGGCACCTCCCACGGCGACAGACGTCTCAAATCCCTTCTTCGCTGCGTGGATGGTCGCACTCTCATCGGCACCACTGCGAGAATCTATCGACACTAACGTTTCGCGCCTGTTGGCTACCATAACGACCCATGAGACTACTTCGGTTGCTCCATTCCAGCTCGCCAGCACATTGCCGCTGACAGCATCGAGGGCAAGTTTCGGATTCCAGTTTGGAAGGCCGACCCAGGTATCCTTGAACACTCGATATGTTCGCACGTTGGTGTTGAATCTTCCAAAGGCAGCATCCATCACAGCAGTTCCATCAGGCCCATACTCGGTGAAGCCCGCCTGAGAATCCCAGCCGACCAAGGAGTTACCATTAGGCAAGGCATCGTAGCTGCCCATTGCATAGCATCCGAGGCCTGAAGGCGCCAAATGCTCCTCGACGAGCTTCACGGTCTTCTCTGGGAAGTGCGTGAGCTCCAGCCTCAATCCCCGTGAACAGCCCGGCCCGGTGCATCCAACAGCCTTTTCCCATTCCAGCTGGTGATTGTCGAACATGGTCAACTGCGTCAAGTCATCGTCCAGAAAACGAGCATGATGCTGCCACGCAAAAGCGGTCGCTTGACCATCACTCAGATCCTCGAAATCGTTCCCCTTGCCGCCCAGATTCCAGATCGGCCAACCATCGGTACCGTTGATCAAGACCACGGTATGTGCACGCCGCAGGTCGACAATATAATCGCCTTCTTTGATCTTCTGGAGACTATTGATATGCCATGGATCCCATCCATTGTGCGTCACCGGCTCATAATCGTGGTACGATGCAGTGGGATGGAAGAACCACGATGCTCTCCAGCCGAACCACACCTCCCCCGTGTCCGGCTTAATCTCCTCAAAGCAGGAGTCCAGTAATACATCATCCTCCTTTCCCCCAACAGAAGAGAGATTATACACGGCCGTCGATTCATAAATGGTAATAAGCACTGTATCGTCCCTCGTCACTTCACACTCGTGCAAATCAGCATCTGCGCTAAAAGACACCGAGCTCGTGACATTGAAGACAATTTCGTAGTGCTTGTTTAGCGCAACACAAACCCCTTGCGCATGTCCCTTCCCCTGCATACCCTCCCAGAACGTCAACACTGTCTCTCCCCTGTACCGCTGCACGCGGACATTGTTCACAAAGGCAAAGTTGCGGTTGGCATAGATCAAGCTCAGGTCGTCGCTCGAGAAGAGGTAAGGTCCCATTCGGGATTCGTACTCCAGGCTCATAAGCAGGTGCGGAGTTTTGGCGATGGAGACGGCGCTTCGGTTCCAGATGGGCGCATTGAAGATTGGTGACCAGATATCGGGATCGGAGAGGTAGCGCTGAGCTGGAGCGTCGCCGTAAGATCCCTTTTGATAGTCGTCAGCAGCGTTCATGATGCCAGCATCGGCGCAAACAGTAATGATCTGAAGGAGGAAAAGAGCGAGGGAGAAAGGACCAGAAGCCATAGTGAACGTGGGGACGAAGAAGGATCGTGGTTTGTTCAAGAGCAAACGCCGCCGAAGGGCAATAGACCAAGGACGAAAGAGCCGGACTCAAAAGACGAAGACGGGTCAAGGACTAACTTACATCTAACCATAGCCTCAGCCACAGTATCAACGATGGAAGTGCAGTCTTGCAAGTGCAGCGATCCATACTCCCAATCTGAGTGTCGTCGGCGTACGTCAAGTGGATCCAAGTGCGGGTTTCCTCTACCGCAACGTCAGATGACTCGTGGCATGCGATGAAGACCACATGGTGTAGAAACACGGCCGCATGCGTAGGAGTGTAGTCGACCGCTCCTTAATTCGAGATCCCATATCGGCAAGCTGAGCGATAGAAAGGACAGATTCCAGGCCATCCACCCCAAAACCATCTCAGGCTGCGGTCCCGATGCAACTGCAGATGCTTGGCAGGTCCAAGTACGATCCTGCACGATTGAAACGCCTGGAGGCCCTGGGCATCAAAACGTAAGTGCTTCTCATGCATTTGCAATCTCGCAAATCCCCTCCCAGCACATGACTGCCATCCATCTTCCCAAATCAGCAAAAAGTTCCTCAAGTCAAAAGTGTCGCAACAACATCGACATCCGAACCGGGTGTCTAGAATCCAGAAGATCGCCGGAGTTCAAGCATTTCCGCCAAGACTAGAAGCCGCGTATACTCCTGCTGCATTGTAGAATCAACGGTCGAGACTCGAAAATTCCTACTGTTACCGGTTCAAGTGGGCGTTCTTGGCTGGAAGGATTCGTCATGGGTGCCGAACGTTCTGGTTTTGTCGTTGTAAGGTTTTGTTTTCGTGAGGGCGGAGTCTCTCGGGCGGGAAATCTGGTATTGCTCTTAATTGCCACTGCATACATTTTGGTTTGGCCTCTGCATAGTGCGTTTGTTCAGGACTTGTCAACCGAGAGTCGTCGAACGGGCAACTGTGCTCGAGCTTCCAAGCTATCCGTTGGATAAAAGGTAAAAGAACGGGTTCCACACCACAGCAGCACGAGTAGGCAACCGGTTCATATATGCGTTTGCAATAGCTCGTTGACGCCACCCGTAAAGCATCTGACGTGCTCGTCGCCCCTGCACAGTCGTATCCAAACTACACCAAAAACAGGAATATCTGCATCAAAGTTCAGGCTTGGCAAAGCTTGGCGGGTGAGTGAATGAATGAATCCAGCTCTCGACGAGACGCCTATCTCCTACCTTTCAAGATACACTGCTCCCATCCGAGCTCTTCAACAATTTTGTAGTTCAACATACCTTGGCAGCTCGAAATTCTCCCTTCTCTACCGAAGATCCACCGCCCCTTCTTCCACGCTAACAGAAAATTCCTGCTAGCCTTGCCCACAGTCAACACCTAACATTCATATGCCACATCACCACGCTAACATCTTCATCAACAAATGGTATTGTGGCCGAGCGGTCTAAGGCGCCACGTTAAGGTCCACATCCTTAATCTCAATCCCGTGGTCCGAAAGGGCATGAGTTCGAATCTCATCGATATCATCAATCCTTTTTGCTTTTTGGGGTGGACTCGACCGAGTGTCGACCGCGTTCGACGTTGCTTCGCCGCGCAAAGGGGAGAAAACGTATGATGGGTATTAAGGTGAATTCGAACCTGTGGTGAACGCGAGCAGCTCCTAAGGGATCAAGGATAGTGATACAATTCGTAAGACTAGACTTGGCTGACTCTCGAGCCCATTCGACTTTGTTTCGAGTGCGAACGAGGAGAGAAGTTTGATATCAACGTGAATTCGAAACTGTAGTGAACGTAAGCACCTCCTACAGAATCCCAGACGACATTGCTATTCGTAAAACCTCGCGGCGCTACGGCATCATCATTCTGCCATCTAACATTGACATCCAGCACCGCTTATCCTGGGAAGAACTACAGCCTCTCTGTGCATCGGAAGGACAATCTGAAATCCCCTTTTGTTCGCTAGCAGGGGTTTGAACAAATCGGACGTGTCGAAACGCTGGCAAACTTGATTATCCGTCCAATGCACAGAGAGGCTGTAGAACTCTTGAAAACCTCAACTCTCGCGCTCAAACAACTCCAACAATTCCCCCCGAAGCCCATTCCTCCCCCCTTCAAATCCCTCATCAAAAAAGCCATGGAATACGATCCCCGTCTCCAGCACAGCGAAGCTTGTACCTCTCTCTATCTAGTTCCACAAAAGCCCGCAAACACTATCCAAATATTCAAAAGTCCAAAATCCCGCTGCCAACCAGCGGAGAAGACATTGTTCTTCCGATCCGCCGGACTCTACGACGTCGAGCACGACGCCGTGTGGGCAGGATCAGCATGGTTGGTCTTGAGCTAGACTTCGAGACGCCTTTCTTTTCTTTCAATTCGGAGCCCGCGAACCCAGCTGTGTAGGCGACGACGGGTTGTGTCCAGCATGTATTGCAGGACTTCACGGTCCTCGAGCGGGCGGGCTTGAAAAGTGCATATCTCCTCCACAAGATAATCTTGCTCGCGAGAGCCTCATCCCAAATCAAGGACGGGACGGAGGCCGCCAGAACCACGATCGTGGGAATAGACGTCCCCACAGAAAGAAAGGATCTAACCCTTCGAGACAAAACCAGAACCAAGGCCGTTGTTGATGTCTCCGTGAGGGTCATTCGGACGGCTGCCCATGATTACGATGGGGCCCCGGAGGGAGAAATCATACCAAGCCCCCATGCCATATCCCAACACCCCCAACAAGGCATGCATATTCGGTCGGATCAAACTCGTCGAGGAAAATCTCAAAGTCTGCGGCGGCGTCGTGGTCGCTTAGCCGTGGGAGTGCGTGTGTGCCGTGTCATGCTTGAAAAGATCAAAGAGGCTAGTTAAGGTAGTTCTGGGCAACGCATGGTAGATCCTAATGCCTTGGAAGAGTTCTTACTACTTTGCTCCACCAAGATACTTCCATTTCTCTGTCTGGCTGCTATTGTCATCGAACCTTGATCCTCCAGACTAAGCTCGTGGGGATAGCATGGCTAGTGATGAATCCCTCAAGGGTACGGTCCTCATTCCTCTTCCGTATCCCCCTTCCACCCCTACCTAGGTATCACCGCCCAAACTGCACCCCCAAACTCGGATCCCAAGTCTTCGCCCCACCAGGAGCACCGCCCTTCCCACTTCCCCCTCCCCCTCCACTCCCACCCCCCTGCTGCTGTCCACCCCCAAAAACAATCGGCATCCCCTCCTGCCACGTCGTCGCCGCTCCAGGCCCCGGACTCTGCACCCCCGCGACCCCCGCCGGAACCTGCATCTGCACCCTCTGGGGCGTCGGCGCCGGAATCGGCTCCTCCACCACCATCCTCGACGACGAACCCCTCTGCTGCTGCGCCTGCTGCTGTTCCTTCTGACTCAACAACTCCCTCTGCGTACTCTCCCTCAACCTCAAATTCGCCATCGCCGTACTAACATCACTCTCCAAATTCTGCGCCTCGTTCCGACGACTATACACGAAATTCCGACAATCATCCCGAAACCGCGTCGTGATGGCCGCGAGGTCATTGTAAAATTTCCGGCCCGTGTCGAGGTTCCGCATGATCTCCTTGTAAGCCGTGTACGCGTTTTCCAGGTTCTGCAGGGCGGTTTCGCGCTCCTTCGAGGACGTGTCGCCGCGCTTGGCGGCTTGGAAGGAGATGTTGGTTTCGGTGACGCGGTTGAGGAGGGATTGTTGTTCGTTTTCTTCGCGCTTGAGATCTTGTTGGTCGGTGTCGTATTTTTTCAGACGTTCGTCGAAGAGGTTCTCGAATTGCGAGGCTTGCACGGGCATCATGGGGTATTCGCGCTCCAGTCTGCTGGCTTCTTTGAGTAAGTCGGGGTTCACATCATCTTCTTTCGCTTTCATCCGCAAGGCTTCGACTTTCTTCCGCCGCCGACTCTCAAGCCGACTGACCTCGTTCAGCGACGCTCGTAACGCATTCGCCTCTCGTTCCACTTTCGCCGTCATCGTCGCCCTCCTACTCGAAGGGACATAATCTTCCAGATCCCGATCCGTGCCGCCCAGTAATCGAATCAAGCTTTCATTCTCCTTCAGCTTCTGCTGCACAAGCTTATCAGAATTATCCGCTTGCTTCAAGTATCCATCGATATCGTTGATCTGCTGATATAGCTTCGGCACGACTTCACTGCCAGGCTGTCGAGACCATCGATCCGTGCCATATTTTCTCCTCGCTGCTTCATCTTCCCCAGCCTCCGTCCTCAAAAGATCGATCCCCTCCTGATACAGAACACGATTGCTCGCCTTGAGCTTCTCGGTATCCGCAATCGTAGCATGAAGTCTGTGCACCCCATTCGCCTGCCGAACCTCCTCGGCATGACTCGCCAATCCCGGCGGCAATCCAAGAGGCTTCTCCAACGCCTGCAGCGACCCCGGCAAATTCAAACTCGAAAGCAACTCATGGATCCTCTGCGTCATGGCCTCCAACTCCGCAATAATCGTATTATTCACCAACCGATCCCTCCGATCCGCATAAATCGAAGCGGCCACATGCACACTGTAAGGCACAAGTTTCGCAAACAACGGCTTGCCCAACTCGCCCTTCTCCCCCAGCATCTCCTGCGAATTCGACACCTCCTTCGGCACCCTCGACGTAACCATACTCGCCCGATCCAGCACCCTCAACTCGCTCTTCGAAGGCTCCGGCTGGAGATAGATCGTATCGTTGTCCTTCTCCGCCCGCTTCAAATCCTCCGTCACCCGATTCTTCAATCCATTCAAATCCCCTTTGACCGCCGTATTGATCCCCGGCTCGTTCAGAGCAATCTTGACGCAGTTCAAACTATCCCTCAACCTCGCCACCTCTTCCCCGTACTTCCTCTTCTCCAGCGCATCGCACGCAGCACGGTACTGCGCCGCGGCCGCGAAATGGTGGTGTTTCGCATTCATATGGTGGATCCACTCGCTCCGTATACTATCCGTCTTCAACGACCACTCGTTCGCGTCGTTGTACAGATCACTGACTTTCGCCGCGAGTTTCGCAATCGTGGCGTCTTTCATCCCATCCTTCACCGCTTTCTGCCAGAAACACTCCTGCGCTTGCGCGAGCACCAATGCCTCCAAAGCCTCCAACGTCGGCGCATCCATCTCTTCCGGCGGCGCACTTCTCAAGTCGGGGATGACATTCTCTCGCAAGTGTTTGAACACGCCCGCAGCCGAGCAGAAATAATTCGCCGCGCTCTTGAGCCCATCACTCGTCGATCGATTCGAGGAAAGTGCCAACTGCGAGTACATCGCAGCGAGGTTGAACAGGACATTGGCGAGTTCGAAGCGGATGTTGTTCTCGGTATGCACGCGGTTGGTGTTATACCCGAGAGCGGGATACCAGGTGAAGTCTGCGCCTATCTAGATAAACATCTCATTAGCCCCTACATCCCCCTCCCTATTCGTAAAACATGTATGAAGAAAACCCTCTCACATCAACAGGAAACTTCCCACCCATCCACACCAACTGCGCCGCATACTGCTCGATCCTCTTCGCCCCGCTGCTGTGCGGTTCCAACGAATTGACGGCATCTTTGCGCAGCTGGTCGATGATCTCCAAGTCTCGGGCGAAGGTGTCGGGGTGCTGGTCGTATTTGGTGGAGATGTATTGTCGGATGGCTTCTGAGAGGCGGAGGCTGTGAGTGCGGCGGAAGGGGATTTGGAGGATGTTGCCGTTTTGCATTGTGATGGGGCAGTCTAGGGCATAGTCGAGATTGAATTGTTGGTCGTTCGAATTGATGTGTTGCAATCCAAGAAGTGGTTGCTAAGGCCAGGTTTTCTTGTTTACCTGGTGGGCGGATCGTCAGAAGCAAGTGAAGTCATCGCGTTCTGGCCCCACGCGAAGCTGTTCCCACCACTTTGTTGTCCCACAGGTTTACGGCAGCATCAACGAGACATGTGACAGAGCATTTGAACGCGAATGTGCAGCGACGAGACACAGCTATCTGCCATGAATACACAAAATGATCTGTCCAAGTGACGGATTCCTTACAGACATTGACAGCGAAGAAACACCCCACATGGGAGTATAACCAACAGAGACGATGTCAATACTCAAACAAGTGTTTATACAGCAAAATCTAGTGGAGAGACTAGCCATGCATCAATCACACCGGGGGTATATGAGCCATCACAACTCACGCATCCCTACTCCATCGCTCTGCTCTTGCTTGCAAGTTGCTAATCTAACCCTCAAAGGTGAGCGAGGTGCCGACCTTGTGGCCAGCCTCGTTGAGCTTGTTGGTGTCGAGGGAGAGACCGAGGCCGAGGGTGGTGCCGGCGTTGAGCTTGGTGCTGTAGGCGAGGGCGGCGATACCACGGTCGTTGATCTTGGCCTATAATTTTATTAGCCATCTGAACGGCGTATTGAGACTGCATTTTTCTTACCTTCGCGAAGGAGAGCTGGTCAAGCTTGTACTTGGACGCAAGCTCAAGACCGCTAGCCTTCTGTGCCTGAACATCGTAGCCAGCCTTTGCGCCAACCTCGACGGAGGAGTTGACCTTTTGGTAGAAGCTGGCGGCGATGATGCTCAGGTTCTGGGTGCCAACAATGCTGGCGTTGTAGGTTGGGCTCTGGTAGCCGATACCGAGGCTGTACTTGGTGACGGCGGCCTTCTGGACATCGTAGCCAGCCTCACCACCGACGAGGAAGCCCTCGTGGCCGGCAGTCACGTCGACAACCGCGTCAATGGCGCCCTTAGCTGTGCCGTAGTTGATGAAGGCGCGGGAGTGGACGTTGGGGTTCTTGAAGGCGAGGTTGAGCTTCTGGGCGGCCGCGTCTGGCTTGGCTGGGTTCCAGAGGTTCTGGACGTCGACTTTGACGCCAGGGGCAACGACGTCTGCGAGCTCGACTTTGCTGTCGAGGAGAGAAGCGGTGTTCCATGCCTGGGTGATGGTGACGCCTTTAGAATGTCGAAAAGTCAGCCCTAGTCTGCTGTTTGTGCCTGCGCCATTGGGGGTGGTGATTGCGTAAAGATATAGAGAGGTGCGTATGGGTGAAGGCAGCTGCTGCATGAATTGGAACATTTTGACGAAGCCTGTGCCCTTCTTTTGCGCTGCTTTTGCTGAGGAGGGAGGAGATGATTTGCGCGTACCGTTTGGCTTGAGGGTGTGCTTGCCCTCGACCTGTGATGATGGTCAGTGAATGAAGGGAAATGATTTTGAAGTGATTGGACTCACGGAACCGCTGGTCACGCCGTCAAAGCCCTGCTTGCCCTTGACGGTGACATTGGTGCCGTTGGGAGCCTTGAGCTTGACATCGAGGGTCGCTGGGAACGTCCTGTCAGTTTCTGCGCGCGATTGACCTTGATTGAGCTGTTTTCAAGCTCTGCTGACCTTGGCTCAAGTGGTAGAAGTCCTTGTTGATCAGCTATCCCTCCATTAGCAACCGGCGCTGCTATTCAAATTCCACCATCTTGACATGATTTCCATACATCGTTGGCAGATTTGCCCAAGTCGCCAAAGGCGGGAATGGGCAGAAGGACCTGGACAGCGGATGGCGCGGCCTTCTCAGCCGCTCTCTCGGTGAAGCTCATGTTGGCGGATGTGGGTGGTGGTGAGGATGCGGGTAGCAGCCAATTGATCCAAGAAGTCTGGTTAGATCGACCGTGCGATTCGGGTGATGCGGGATTGGAGGGTGTGGTGGGTGATGGGAGAGAGATCTGGAGATTGTTTATCGTCAGGAGCAAAACATTTGAAGCCAGCCAGCTCAGTCCTAAGCTTCCCGAAGTCACGGGCACGAGGCGGCGGAGACACGGCCCCATTGGCTGACCCCGGCGGTCGTCTTCCGCAGGCAGGATGCCGCCATCAGGACAAGACTCACCGATTGATCGCGCAGTTCCGACTCGCTATACAGCATCGATGCCATCGCCATGGTATTTGCAGCTGTACTTCTCCATCCGTCTGAAGTGGCTGAGGGATGGGGTGTGTCGGGTTCTTGCGGTCAAAGACGCCGGCCACGTCAAACAAAGAAGAGCAAACGCAGTTGCCCGGGGACGTGTTGTTGCACACATCATCATCCGTTCCCAGAAAGGGGCAATGGCGGCCAGTAGGATGGGTGCAGACGTGATCCATACTTTCACGTGTTGATCGACCAAAGTGAACTTTCTTATTCGTACATTTAGCAACTCTAATAGGCGCTTCTACTCGATAGAATGCACTTCTATTCACAAGGCTCACGAATGATTGATGCTGTCGTACCACTCAGGAGAATTTCAAGCGTATCTGCAGCAGGTGATGATGAAACTTGTCTGCCTTCGTCTATCGATATTCTGTGTGAAACAAGTCACTCAGACTGTGTTCTTCATTTCATCCGTACGTTGACGCCACAAGCTTCATGTACCTTCGTACATGTACTTTCATGTGAAGCCAAGCCAAGTTAGCTACGCAAACATCTATTTTCTGACGTGCGTAAAGTCAAGCATGCATCTCAATAGCGAAGCTCTGCTCATGAAGGTGGCAAAGCATGCCACGCAGTGTGCCACGCAGTGTACATCTCTCAGGGTATCTCCACCATCTACCTATCGACATTCATCTTCCCTCCCCTCCCTCTAACTCTCCCCATCCTTCTTCCCTCCCCTCCCCCCACTTCCCCCATAAACCGCATTCCCAACCCCCGCAACCACCCCAAGAATCCCCGTCAATACAAAAAAGTTAAACAGCACACTATTCCCCGCCACGCTCTCCGGCTCCTCGACCCTCACGGCTCTTTTCCGCCTTGCCTTATGTCTCGTCCGCTCGATCTCGCTATGCGTCTGTGTATGCGCGCGGTTGTCGAAGTGAGGCACGTCGCTGTCGAAGCCCATCGCAAAGCCGCTCGGTCCCATCCCTGGGCCTGCGGGGCCGCTGGCGGAGTGGCCTTGGGCTTCGTTGGTGTGGGAGGCTTTGGAGGCGTGTTCGCTTCGCTTTTCGGAGTGTTTGCCCCAGCCTCCGCTTCGGTAGAATGAGGGTGGTGGGCCGCGGAACTGTGTCCTTCTGCGACTCAATCCGCTTGCTGGACGGCCACCGGGGCCGGTGGTGCTGGAGGAAGAGAAACTGCCGTGAGGTACTGGTCCTCCCGAAGATGGTGCCTGCTGTGTACGTATAAAGTCTCTGTCATATCGCTGCTTCTTCTCCGGCGACCCCAGCGTCGCCCACGCCTCACTGATCTTCACGAATCGCTGGGAGGCAGACTGATCGTTAGGATGCAGATCAGGATGGTTTGCCTTGGAAAGTTTGTAGAATTGTCTTGCCAATAGTCAGCCCCTACATTACACATGCCCTACATCAAATATATCTCACTTCTTGATATCCTTCTGACTCGCATGTATCGACACCTCCAGCGTCTCATAGTGGTTGGGCATGCCACAGTCATCTCGTCGTCCAGCGGAGGCGTGAAACGGCCGCTTCGAAGGCCATTCCAGGTGCGAGCATTGTGCTGCTGTCCGTTTCAACACGCATGACCGTAGAATCATGCCTCCATGCGAACATTGAAAGGGGGGCGACGAAGCATAGTAGGAGAGTAACAGCAGTAGTGTTTGCTCGCAATGGCGCGACTTCGAGATCCTTACGTCACGATTTGGAGATTGGCTTTGGCGTCGACTTTTGGCAATCTCTCGCTTAGATCAAGGCTTAGCTGGAAGGAGAAGCTCTTCCACGACAACATCTTCCCTCGGTATGTCGTTGGTCTCTCTTCTTCACATCGAGTTGGGTTGGTAGATATCGAAGACTTCCATATAGGCCCGGCGTGTGAAAGTCCTACCGGCAAATCCTGCGACGCACGGGAAACGCCAGACCGTCAACACCATGGCACAAGATCTTGGCCAGACAAAAAGGCCCCTTGCAACAAGACAGATCGGAACGAACCTCGAAAGACTTTAATATGTCTTGTCAGGAACAGGACAATTAATGCCAGCGCGAAAAATAAAGCAGACTGCAGCTCCGTCTGTAGTAGCCGTGGAAATGCACAACCGAACAACTCCAACAAAGCCACAAGAAAAGAGTTGCGGGGTGAGGCGTGGGAACTAGGATGGCACGTTGTATTTTCCGAGAATGAGCCAGTATTGGGACCTCCACATTCGGATAGTGAACGACGTGGATGCCGAGAGTGGTGTGTTGGTTTCGTAGGTATGTATTTAACAGAAGTTCTTTAATGTTCAATCTCTCATTGATGTTTATTTGATCTTCTTTCTTCTCCTCTAAGCCACCGCAACCTTACCCAACATATCATCAGCGTTCTCGCGTGAACAAATCCCACAAAATGTCCACCTTCACAAACAAAACCATAGCCATAACCGGTGGCGCCTCAGGCATCGGCCTCTCCCTCGCCCACATCCTGTACAGCCGGGGCGCGAACCTCAGCATCGCCGACGTAAACCAAGCCCGCCTCAACACCCTCCAATCCGAACTCGGCTCAGACGGAATTTTAGTCTACGCCCTCGACATCCGCAACCTCGACCAGGTCCACGACTGGCTGAAGCAGACCGTCGAGAAGTTTGGGGGACTTGACGGAGCCGCGAATATGGCGGGCGTTATTAGTGATGTGAGGGAGGGGCATGGAGGTGGGAGTGGGTCGATTGAGAATCAGGATGAGGGGGAATGGGAGAGGATTTTGTGGGTGAATTTGACGGTATGTTGAAGATTTGTTGTTCTGGCTGTATAGTTATCGTCACTCGAGATGTGGAGGCGAGAGAGTGTTCATTGCAGATCTAGCTGCCTGCGAGAACGACGGGGAGAAATCGTCCCCTTCGAATGAAAACAGCAAAAGGTCTCATGAGATTTGCAATATGACTGACAAGTGCCCAGGGAATGATGCACTGCCTCAAAGAAGAACTCAAACTCCTCAAACCCGGCTCCTCAATCGTAAACGCCGCCTCCATAGCAGGAATCCGCGGCCTCCCCTACTCCGCCGCCGTAAGCCCCTCCCCCCCTCCACCCTCCCCACCAAAAAGAACACCCCACTAACCCCCACCCCAGTACGGCGTCTCCAAACACGCCGTCGTCGGCCTCACCCGGGTCTGCGCCAAAGACTACGGGCCCCGGGGCATCCGCATCAACGCCGTTGCGCCCGGCTACGTCGACACGCCGATGCTACAGACGGCCGAGAAAGGGCGCGAGGACGCCGTTGATGTCGGTGTTAAGGCCACGCCGCTCGGGAGGAAGGGCTTGCCGGAGGAGATTGCGGCTGTGGTGGTGTTTTTGTTGGGGGAGGAGAGTGGGTATGTTACTGGGCAGGTTTGGAGTGTGGATGGGGGGTGGAATGTTTAGGATTTTATGTTTATGTCGACATAGAGGTTGGATTTTGGATTCAATTCATTTTTAGACTCGGCGGTGGATTGAATCTATAAATCCATTGAAATCTCGTTGAATCTTCAGATCATTTGCATTGAATCTAAATACGACCCCAGAATCCAATCCATTCAAGATTCCAACTTCTATAGATCATGATTAAGCAATGTAATTCAATCGACTATGTAGATTAGAGATTGTTGGAGTCGCTCTGACTTGACAGATGGGTGTTGAGATCGCAAGGCTGTAGGCTGTGAGCTCCGGAGGTTGCAGTAAACCAGCCGTCGACGACCACGGTTTTGCTCGAGGTGGAATTGCTGCTACATCGCTTCTAGCAGGCCGAACGAGAGGCTGTCAAAGTACTGTCAATAGCGGAGTTCGCATACTCCGACTGAGATCGAAGCTCTACCAGAAGAAACGAAATTTTCGGCTCGACCCTGTTAGTATCGTCTCTCTATTACTCAGACCAATCTTCAAAGTTCTTTCAAATCTTCCGCCAAATTCTATCATCGTCCCCGTCGTCGCCGACCCCTGCTTCCCCGCCTCCAAGCAAAAATATCGAAGTCCAACCAAACAAAACGAAAATCGTCTCGAGCCGCTCCAAATCGAATCTCCATTACACACCCCATCATTCAACGTTCCTCCAAACCTTCCGCCAAATCCCTCATCGTCCCCGTCCTCGCCGACCCCCGCTTCCCCGCCCCGAAACAAAAATTCGGCTTCCCCGACCAGAACCCAACCGAACCTCAATCCCTCTACAACACAACAACAAATAGCAATAATAAACGACGGCAACAACGCAAAAATGAATGCGGCCTCTGTGGATCGAACGCGGGGATTTTTAGCTTTATTTCAATGCGTTGGAGTTGATACGAGACCTACCACAGTACCTCCAGATACCGCACAGTGGTGCTAGAACCGAAGTGAATCTTCAGTCTGGCGCTCTCCCAAGCTGTGAAGTTGTTAGCCACTGAACCACACGGATTAGGAAGTTGTGGATACTCACTGAGCTAAGGCCGCTACCTGATTGGATGAGAGTGAAAAAAACATTAACAATATGTAGCTCAATGCTAGGTACCGAGGTAGAAATCCCGGCTCAGCCGGCTTTGCCAGGATTTGAATTTTCACGCCCACGAAATCGAGTCCTGACAGATCCAAGGACACCCAATAGCCTACAATACATGCACCTAGTTGTCTGAAGTCTGCTTTGACCGTTTTGACAATGCTGTGCGATCGGGGAACGAATTATTCACGCAAATCTGGTCCGTGCTGCAGTTGGTCCGTGCGCTCAATGTCGCAGGTGTTGGCTGACTTGTGCCACGAAATGATTGTATGAAGACAACATACATATTGCAATCTATCACAAACACTCGGATCTGTGTTCACGGTCAGTCAATACAAACCTGAACTTATGCGATTTCCCACACTCCAAGGCCGTGGGCAGGACCATCTGCTGAAGCACAATCTTGGGGCATCTACCATTGCTCGTGAACAACTCAGAACTCAAGGCTTAGTAGTCGTCCGATACATGCTCCCGTGGCGAGTGCATAACCTCCAGGTCTACTAGCGACAGCAAGTGACGTTGGAAATAAAGTTGACGCTAGCGCAATTTCTCATCATCCGAAGTGAATGTTGGGAAGGAGCGAAGGCTTTGAACATTGAGAGAGTTTCGAGATCGTTCAGAGTGCTACATTCCTCGTTATCGTTTAGACGCCAGGTCATGGATCCTGAATACGCTGCGATGGATACCCGCACCATTAGAGGGGACAAGTGGACGAGCTCCCATCACCAAGATAAACGACGACGCCAAACGTTTTCCCCTCCCGACACACTGACTGCTCATCCGGAATCCCCTACACACCCTTCACCCATACCATCCCCTTCCTCACATCCCCAAACCACGCCATGGCCATATCCTTTAGATAAAAGCTCCTCCCATTCCACTGCCCGCGATCCCCAGCCTTGGGCAACGCACTCTCCCCCATCGTGATATACGTACTGCCCAACCGAAACAGCTGTCGTTGTCTCACGCTCCTCCGATCCTCTTCCGTCATGTAAGGCCGCACCTCCACGACACCCTCCCGCCACATCTGTTTGATGATCCGAGTAATCAGCTGCGCGGTTGCATCAGCCCCCAACGTCCACGCTGCGTCGGCGTATCCGAGCACGAAGCCGCAGTTGGGCAAGTCTTGGAGCATAGCACCTTTCCAGGTGTATTTCTCAGGCGGGTTGTAGGGTTCGCCGTCGACGGTTATGCGCATCCCGCCTGCGAATTGGAGTTTGAGGCCCGTGGCTGTGACGATGAGGTCGGGGTGCAGTTCTTTCCCCGATTCTAGCTTGATTGAGTCGTGAGTGATACTCTCAATAACGCCGGTCTCGATGCTAGCTTTGCCGCTTCGGAGGGCTTTGAAGAAGTCGCCGTCCGGGGAGAGGCAGACTCTTTGTTTCCCGATGTCGTAGTTGGGCGTGAAGTGCGGGTCGTATGGGACGGTAAGTGGGAGCTGGGCGATGGTCTTGTCGCGGAAAGATTTTCGAACCAGGAAGGGGAAGTTGTAGACGATCATAGCCTAGAACATATCAGTCAGAACAACCAGGTTTACCATGGACCATAGACGACCCACAAAGAAAGATGCGGTCAGCATATGATGCAGCCAAATCAGTCGATCTTGTACCCAAACACTGCACCACTTTCGAATCAACCGATTGATACTGCCCTGTTGAGGAATCGCAACCAAATAGCTAGGCGACCTCTGCAGCATCGTCACATGCGAAGCCTTGTCAGTCAGAGCCGGCAGTAACGTGATTGCCGTAGCTCCACTCCCGACAATGACAACATGTTTATCCGAGTAATCCAACCCCTCAGGCCAGAACTGGGGATGAACTACCGCTTTCTGAAACTGCTCAATGCCTGGTATCGTGGCGTTCAAAGGTTGCTTATAGTCGTAGTAGCTGGTGCATAGCATGAGGAAACGACAGCGATACACCATCCGCTCTTTTTCACCGCCGGTCACATCCAACGCCCATTCATGCTGTGCAGACGACCAGCTAGCGGCATTGACATGGCGATTACATTGAATCTTCTTATCAATGCCATTCTCATGGGCAGACTCGTTTAAATAGTCCCGAATCAAATGCCCTTGAGCGATACGTGTGCTCATCTCCCAGATCCTCCAGGAGAAACCGAAGGTGTAGAGGTCGGTGTCGGAGCGGATTCCTATGCCATGCTTCTAAGTTGTGATTCAGTGGTTTGGCTTGGAGAAGACTCACCGGGATATTTGAATAGACTCCACGTCCCGCCGACTTCGTGTCGACTCTCGAGAATGGTGTAGGTGAGACCTGGGTTTTTTTCTTGCAAGCGATAGGCAAAGTTTATGCCTGAGATGAGTGTGTCGGAACGTCAACACCTTTTCTTTTGATTGGCACAAGTTACTTACCAGCACCGATTATGACCACATCGTAGTTCAATCCCTTGTGGTCAGACGACATCTTGGATAGGTAGTAGCTGTATGTGTCTTTCTGCTGTCCTTCGTTGCGAACAAGGTCGCTAAAGGAAAGGCTCTGAGGCACATGAGCGCATACATCAACCATTTACAGTACCGGCCATCGGTGGCCTGGTGGGCACCGACGGTGGAATATCTCACCGGTGTAGTCTGAGCTCACCAGAGCATTTTTAGAGTCAGTTCAGCCTAAGAGAATAGGTATCGGAGACTTGTAAAGTCGGTCGTACGAAAGTAAGACGTTCCTTCGTTGAAGATTGTACAAACAAGAGGACGGTCCCAAGAGCTTATACGAAATGGGCATGGCGAGTCACAACTCTTTGGAGCCATGAGATTGAGATATGTGTGAGAGATCTCGCACAATCTACTGTCCGAGTGAGTTGACCTCAGCTCAATAGCGACAGAGTTGATTCAGCAGAGACTTTGTTCGTACAGTGGAAGAAATGAATTCAATGAAAGGATTGATAAAGAGCATGACATAGCCGATACTCGCATTGAGCTTCGTCTGGAGAGACGTGACCTATCGGGAAAAAGACTGATGGTAGAACTAGCACAGGGACAATCGTTACTCCAGACGGCTCGGCAGACGCTGAGATCAGATCAGATCCTTCCGTGTTCATCTCTACGAGCCATTGATCAACGACCAGATCCGGACTCGCTCTCAAGACACTGGCACAAAGGCCGTTACTTTTCGTACGACAGCACCTCCGACCTCGATTGTAGAACAATCTACCGCAGGAGTCGCACTTTCGGCTTTTCCTGGTCCCGTCATACCGCTAGACTACGCTTCGTACCAAGTCTCAGATAGGCTCAAAGAGCGAGGGATCGTGTTCGATTGGCATCCGTGGCATGCAGCCTTACATGCAGACTTTAAAATGATAGAACATCATATGACGCTCTGCGAGTGTTTATTCTTGTCCTGCCGAAGCAGCCAACACATTAAAACACGGCCTGTTACCTGCGAGACATCAGAGCTAAAAGTGAACGACATCGAGGAAAGTATGTATGCCGAGCCCGGGTCAATTTTCACGCTCAAAAAGATCAGAAGATTGTCATGAATTGGCTTCAAGGTGTACTGGCAAGATTGATCGGCTTGGGGAGGCGGTCGGCTAGCGCCAAGAATCACATGCTTGGCAGCCGGCTCGTGAGCACCCGAGTGAGCACAGCACAGCACTGTGTTCTTACATCGTCTTCAACGTTGGCATAATTTTCAATATGCCCGGAGTGGAAATTCGGGGTTTTTGGTTTCTCTAACTTTCAGAAAGCAGTCAAAGATACTCCATTCCGCATAGACAGTCTCCGCTTCAAGCGGTAAAATGAGGACTTTCCTTCTGCATACATAGCATCTCCTTTGAGCGGTGAAACTACGGCCTTCTTTCTACCTGCTGGCCTACTGAAAGTTGAGTCTCATCGCATCTCTGGAGGTCCTGTTGCCAGACATTGGTACTTAAGCTTGCGGGAAACGCAAGCAACTTAATCTGGAGTGGCCAGCTGTACCTAGATCTCCCTACCACACCATTTTGTTACGTTTTTCCATCCTCAGAGTGGCCGTGCGAGTGTATCATCAATTACATCGTCGCGATATTAACCAAGTACAGATTTTCGGCACCCACCCGTCCTTGACCTTTCTTCTGCACTTCTTCCAACACTCTTGGCAGTCGCTGAGCAGCATTGAGGTGACGTCCCGTCAATGGCTTGTACGCCGGATCGGCCGCCAAAGCCACCATCGTATCAGCACATAGTTCTGGTGTCTGCATCTTGAATTCCCCTGTGAAGCCGCCGTCGGACATGAGCTTTTGCATTAGCGGATGGTGGAATCCGCTTTGCACTAAACATATCAAGATTAGAACTCTGCTGCAATATAAATCCTTAGTTATACTCACGCTGTTCAGTCATCACCGTTCCGGGGTTAACGGCGAATGTCACAATGTTCTGGGATGCCTCCAGGAAATCCAGCTCCCTGGCAAGGCACTCGTGGAACTTGGATAGAGTTGCCTTAGACGTCGAGCTTGCTGACAAGGCTGGCGCTGCTGTGGCCGCGTAAGACGAACTGGTGCTGATGATGACTCCTGTCTTGCGCTTCAGCATGCTTGGAAGCACTGCGCAAGAAAGAGAGACGGGAGCCAGAACGTTGACCTGCTGTACTTTCCACCAGGCGTCGGGCTCCTCTTCACTTAGAAGACCAATGTGGTTGATTCCGGCGTTGTTGATAAGAATGTCGACTGGTCCCAGCGCCTTCTCTACCCGGGCCACGATATCCTTGGCTGCGCCGTCGGAAGATACATCCGCTACGATGGGTACAGCACGCCCGTGGCCGTGTGTAGCGGATATGTCTTCAACCAGAGTACCAAGTTCTGGCTCGCGGCGAGCAACAACAGCAACCGACGCACCAGCTGCTGCAAAAGCTTTGGCGATGGATCTTCCAATCCCAATCGATGCACCGGTCACAATAGCCTACAAGGTCAGCATCACCACCCAGATTTTGGAAGAGCAATCTACTCACCACTTTGCCCTCCAACTTTCCAGCATACTTCTTCGGCTCAATGGCCTCATATGTCTCCGCAAGTGCCGGCAACTTGTCCTGCGTCGCACAACTCAAGTCAACATGTGCCAAAGCAGCGGCTACATCCTCGTCTAAGTCCCCTGACTGCAAGGCCAACGCCTTCCGGTCTGGTGCAGCCTTGTGTTCGAAGTCGCCACCTCGCCCTTCGCCGATGTAGTTGCAGTATGCAAGATCCGCTCCGCCCATGATGTCTCCACTGTCAAGTTTCTTCCTCGCTTTCGCTTCTCTCTATGCAACCGTAGAAGTCTTGATCGTCCAATCAGCATCGTTCGTGCGCGAAAACCGCTTGATAGCAGCAAAGAGATCATCTTGGTTAAGACGATGAGAAGCGATGTAGACGAACTTGTTGGCGTAGGAGTCGAGGCCAGCGCTTTCAGGGGTTGGATGCACGGGGAGAGATAGCAGGGCCGCCAGTCCTCGACCCACTTGTTCCTTGGTTGTGGTAGAGAAATAGCCGGCATCGGGATAGTGAGTGTAGGTACGGCTGCGTATGGAAATGCCAAAGAGGACGGCGTTAATGCTCTGTTTACATATTGGTACTGATAAATTTCACGCTGTGAGAGCCTTTGGGAAAGAACATACCGTATCCAGCCATGGCCCCGTCGCCACTGCAATATACGAGACACCAGTATACGTCTCTGACAACTTCTCGATATATCGTAGAACGTCATCTTTCGGCGTCGTCAACTCCCTGTGTAGTTTAATGAATGTTGGGTTGTCATTGTCGGCCCCATATCTGATACAAATTAGCAACAGACTCAGTCGGTATTGCTGGAGCCCAGAACATACTCATTGGGAAGGATCCACTTCACCCCAGCCTTACCACAAGTCAGCCGCTTCCGAGTCTTGCTCCATGACCGTTCCACTCCATTCCACTCACCTTCGCCGCAGCGTCGATCAACTTGTACTGTGCATCCATTGCAAAGATACTAATCACAATCATCACGGCCTCTTGGCCCCGAAACGCCTCAATCAGGAATTCTTCATCGTCGTAGTCGCCCTTTTTGACAGTGATTCTGGGTGATGATGGAAAGGTTGCACGGGAGACTGCACGACTGAGGATCGTGATCTGGAGGTCGGGATTGGTGTCAAGGAGGTGGGTGACCGTGGGGGCGGCAATTTTAGAGCTCGCCTGTGTGTAATGTTAGTCAGGGACATGGAGTCGGAAGAAGAATGTAACTTACGCCTACGATGACGAGTTTTCGAAGCTTTTCGCCAGCCATGATGTGAGGTTGTCGGTGGCACGAGAGCGGAATGTGTTTCAGTCACTAGTCAGACAAGCTTGCAAGTCCAATCGTTGCTGGGAGTCACGGCCGTCGGTGCAAAGAAACTACTTAAAGACTGACGTTTTAGAAGCCCGAACATTCCTGCAATAACACAATATCCATTCCTGATGACTTTGGGTAGCTTAGTAGTAGTCTTCACAATTCCACCGATGCATCGGACCGAACGTAACTTCCTGTTCGGGACATAGGGGCTTTCGGCTAGCGATATGACTGCACGTGATTCGCGGCTACGTGTATTCCGCCATGTCGGAAAATACGGTTTCGAGACGGACAGAGAAGTGCTCAATCGCGGCCGACAACAAAGCGAAATACGACTGGCGTTGTGGTGACATCCCTCTGAAGTTTGGCAGCACCTAGAATCAACAACTTTCTACCGGCATCGTCCACCAAGACGGTTCGCGTCACTCTAAGACTCTTCCGTACATCCTCGCTAGTTCAATTCCCAAGTTTGATAAGCCAGGACGCGGCAAAATCAGTGTCTTCGCTTTGTCTCTTCAATCTGCAGCAAAACTTTACCTTTGCAACACTCTCACGCGCACAGTCAGAATTCGTCTCTCAGGGACTTCGTGGATCTCTGGCAGTCCAAGGTCTTTACCCAAACATGGTGACATATTTGGTGCAGTCCTTAGAGCGACTGTTTGCCAGCCTCGTACCTTATGGCAACCGTCCTCTGCAGCCTGCATGGCATTTTCCAGTCCACCTGGCGATATGTATCTTGACCATCGCTCTCCCTGTTGGAAAACAGGCAAGATTGCTCGTGGTGCTTCCAGCAGTGCTTTATAGTACTTTCTCCAGGATCGCCTACACAACAGGGGCCGTCAAGGACGACTACTTCAATGCCATGCAGTTTCTGGTTCTCACTCTCAACTTTGTGAACCATCTGGTCCTAAGGCCATACCTTACAGGGAAAGAGGCTCGATACATGTCCTCGGGTTCCTCAAGAGCTAGAAATAATTTAAAGGAAAAAGTCGAGGAGCAGCGGACCACAGATTCCAGGTTGCAAGATTCCAGGTTGCAAGGCAAGGCATTGTCCGAGTGCACAACCTTTGCACAAAGGTTGGGGTGGACCGTAAGGCTGCTCACCACATTTCGCGGCATTGGCTGGAATTGGCAGATTAAGAAGATCCCCGAGAACCCGGACCTCGATCTATCGAACGGCCAGGCAGCCGTGCGCCATTTCCGTCGTCTGATCTCTGTCTTGGTATTGCATGCTGTATACCTCTATATAATGACTTTCACAGGCACGCTGCAGACCCGAATGCGCAGCAGAGACGACTCTCCAGCCTGGCAAAGATTGCTCCTACACACGCTCTTCACTTGGTCAGTACAGCTCTGGATGATCGACAGTTCCAAGATCATATACCACGGTCTTGCAGCCACAACACTCGCCCTCAAAATGCAAAGCCCATCAGACTGGCCACCCTACTGGGGTCCGTTTTCTGACTGCTGGAGCGTTCGAACAGTATGGGGCGACTCTTACCACCAATTATTTCGCCACACGTTCGACAATTATTCAAATCTTCTGGTCTCGTTGCTGGACCTCAGCAGAGGAAGCTTTGCTAGCAGATACACAAAGCTCTACACCTCCTTTTTCGTATCGGTGGTGATACACTGGTGGTTCTCTTTCTGCGCTGCACCGGATGAGCAGGGGAGTTTCTGGTTCTTCATGTCGCAGGCCGTCATTATCAGTGTGGAAGACGCGGGGAGGTGGGCCTGGAGAGCGGTGACCGGGAGAAATGAAAACGACGAACTCACCACGTTCGAGAGGGTATTTGGTTATGTTTGGACATTCTGCTGGTTCACCTATTCCTGGCAGATCGAGATCCACTTCCAGATGGGAACGGTGGAGCCTATGCCTTTCGAGCCGGATCTGAGGGGTATGGCGAGTCGTCATGCATTGCTGTGGATGTAATGCCGAACTTCCTACTCGTGTTGCTTATGCAATGATCCAACTGTCACCGAACACGAGTATACTAGTTTTATTATCATTCATTTTGTCAACGTTGATGGTTGACGTAATTAGACAGTCTCTAGGACATTTCGTCGCACAATCAATGTCGTGTACGATTATAGCCATAACTGTGTCATTCAGGACAGTGATATCCTGTCGTTCAAGTAGCCAAGCTGTGATATTTAATAGAGTGCAACGTTGAGACTCTCAGCGCCACAATATAGAGTTCGCCGATGCTAGCTCTCAAAATGTGACAACGGCGTCCGTGCGCATCGGTAGCGGAATCTTTAGAAGAGAAGGTGTTCATGTCTCTCCACGAGAAAGAACGTTATTCTGTAGAGAAAAGAAGACGAAGACGCTTCGCTTCATTCGAAGGCGTAGTACGGTATAGAGTACTTGTCCTTGCCAAATGCACTTGCGTACAGCCCAACTAACCATCCAAGTGGCGCTGCCACCGGCCAATATTCACTCGCAAGCATCATATATGATATGATCCGCAGTACAGCATTCCGCACGCTCAGCCCCCACGCAGTCTGGGGAGTCATGATGCCAGGAAAGCCAGGAGGTATCTGTTGCATGTCTTGGATGATTGGACGCATCCTTTCTGAGTAGTTTTGCAAAGCGGTGGAGAGGTCGTCTGGATGACTGTTGATCTCGCCTGCCAGGACGTACGCTCCTGTGATGGCAAGGCTCGTTCCCGTTCCAACTGGGCCTGCGGCGTAACCTGCGTCGCCGAACAAGACGATGCGGCCTTTGTAGAGAGACGGGGCTTTGACTTGTGCAGCTTCAGAGGCATATAGTTTGTTCGATTGCTCGACCGCTGTTAGGATGTCATCACGGCCATGGCCGTGGAAGAAGTCGCCCAAGAAGTCCTTCAAGGCCCTGTCTCCGCCCTTTACCGCCTGACGGAATAAATGCATAATCGATGTTTCATCGGAGCCGTGAGAACCCATAAGTAGTACGCGGTTCTGTTTGGAATCATGATCCGGTAGTAGAATGATGCCTCTGCCAGGTGTAGACGTTGTTAGTTGTCCTGTTTTCGATGTGTTCAAAAGATCCTTCTTGATGGTAGAGTACGCAGCCCATGCATTCATCGAACTCATATGATCACGCACTTTGCAGTCGAATGCTAAAGCCCTCGTGCGAGACGTGGCGCCGTCAGCTGCAACGACCAGATCATATCGAGACTGGGGCAGATGTCCGTTCAAAAACTCCACATCGACGCCCTTTTCGTCCTGTGTCATTGACTTCGCTTGCTCTCCGAACACGTATCGAACATTTAAAAGGTCTTTGGCGAAGTCGAAAAGTATTTTCGATAGGTCATCGCGAAAAATCTCATATTCGGACATGAGAGATTGCTGTTTTGGATCACCAGTCGATTTGATGGTAAGTATCGATTGGCCCTTGCTGCTAAGAACACTCATTCCTGATATACTATGTTAGAGGCTCGGCCAGTTCAGTCATTTCGGAAAGCATTCGTATGAATACCTTCAAGTGGAGCTGCAGCAGCGCGAATCCGTGCTTCCATTTCAGGTACTTTCTGGACAACCGTCACCCCTGACGTTCGGATGTCCACGTTTTGACCACCATCTCGCATCGCTTCATGGCGTTCAACGACGGTGATATCTGCTCCGGTCTTGGCTAGCCAGAAGGCCGCCATAGGCCCTGCAACTGAAGCTCCAACAATCAGGATCTTCTTATCAGCCATGACTCTCGAAGAGATGCAATGCTGGGGCCTGGACAAGAAACTATATCATGGAAGGTGACCGTAAGGACTCGAAGCACAGGCATATGTCCCGACATTCGAAACGTCGATCGTCAGTGATCGATTACAGTCGCAGGAAATCAGCATCCGGCCCGAGAGAGGACGGCTGGATCGATAACGCAAGTGGCGGTGAATGTCAGTGCCCCTTTCATCAACGTCATGCATAGCAGCAAGGCACTACTACTACAATTGAATTGAGTTTATTCGAGCCGCAAGATCTCTGAACAGCGTAATCTGACCATGCTGGCTGAAGACCTTTGCAGCTGTCGCTGAACGGAGGGTTACAGAGATCTCACACCACATCTTCACCCGTGTGCTGAATTTGTGCACCAGCTCGGGTTATTGGCAGCGGCATACATCCCGATATCTAGATTCAGGAGTTTAAGTATGATCGATCCCTCAAGGATCTCTCCACTGAATAGAGCGTGGCGTCTACCAAAGCCATTGAGAATGTCTTGGGGAAGCGTTGAAGTATACGATTCATATCCTGCCGTCGCCCCTGCCAAGTATGTGGGAACTCTTAAGGGCAAAGTTGTGTGTATTGCCACTTTTCGCTCTTTGCAACAGTTTTGCTGTACTGATTCGTTCGTGCTCTCTAGGCAGTGGTCACGGGGGCTTCCACTGGCATCGGAAGAGCAATCGCAAAAGCATTCGTCGCTGCCGGAGCCTCAGTGGCCGCAATCGCTCGACGCCAGCCTGAGCTCGATTCGCTTGTCAATGAGGTTCATGCAGCGGCCAATTCTAGCGGCCGCTTGAGCACCATAGTTCCCATCGTTGCCGATCTCACAGCAAATGACGCCGGTAAACGTATTGTCACCGAAGTTGAGCAAGATCTTGGACCTATCGACATTCTGATCAACAACGCTGGCGGCCTTCACGTGGGACTGCTCGGCGAAGAAGAGGACGCAGACTCAGATCTATGGTGGAAATCCTACCAAATAAATCTTGGGGCGCCACTTGCTCTGATCAGTGCTGTGCTTCCATCGATGCGTCGACGGAAAACTGGTGTGATTCTCAATACAAGTGCTGCTGGGGTGACACTGTGTGCCCCTGCTCTGTCAGCCCAGTGTGCATCCAAGGCTGCACTTAGCAAGTTGACAGAGGTGCTGGCAGCAGACATGCAGTTTGCTGGATGTCCAGACATCCTGGCATTTGCTGTCAACCCTGGCACCGTTAAAACCGAAGGATGTACGTATGTCTTGGATCCAAATAAGAAGTACGCTGACTCGATCATGACAATCACAGTGGAGAAGGGCATCAGTCACCCGGTCATGCAAACCATGATGTCGTCTTTACCTGGCGACATCAAGATGAAATCCTCAGAGCTGTGTGCAGACGTTATGGTTGCTCTCGCTGCAGATCCTGCGTATCGTGTGCTCAACGGCTTACATCTGAATGCCTCTGAGCCACTTCCCTTGGTCCTGGAGGAAGCTCAAAAGGAGGGAAAAGGCAGAATCGGCGCTGAGAGGCTGTACACGGTCAAGGTCGATACTCTGAACTTCTGCATGTAATGGGCAACGCAACGACTCGGATGTATCGGGCTAATCAAAGAGTGCCGAAGGCGTCAGTAGCCTTTCCTTGCCATGCCGTCCTATACCAACGAATCGAATCTACAAAACAGCAGCGTGATCTGATTCAATTGACCTTATCCAAATCTCATCGCTTCCTCTTATCTTCCTCGTTCCGCTCAAAGTGGGACGTAGCGAACTGCTATCTCTCCGAATTTTGACAAGCGACCGCGCTGCTACTTGCACTCCAAGCTGCTTAGACGGCTTAGGAGCAACGGGGATGAATGCTCCACTTTGGGCGGAACACCGAGGGTAGTCAAGGTGGCCTTGCGAGTTTCGACGGTGTGGGGTTCTTGTTTCGGGAAAGATGAGTTGCTGCATAAACCACAAGGATATGTCCTCGACATGCCACGGGCCACAGTCCTTCCCGAACCATCCTGAGGTGTGCACATCAGTCTTAAGTGGTAAGCTAAGACCCCTACTGCATCTCTGAATCCTATCTGCAAGTTCGGTGCATATAGAACTTGCCCATGCAAAGTCCTTGGCTTAGAACCACCAAGCCTGGGACTGCGGGAGAATTGGAGTGGTGTGGTGTTCGCTTACACGCGAGAAACTGCTGCAGACTACTTCGAGATGGGTCATGATGATGCCATCGTTGGTAATTCTATCTTCGGGGTTAAATGCTGCGATGGATGTAGCTAACGCAATTGGCAGGGTATAAACCAACAGGCTTGGCCTTTCTCAGCTCGCTGGGCAAGCGTCTTGTGTGAAACCATACTTGTGATCGTCGGCGACAGAAGAGCAAGCAATTATTACTCAAGGGAGGGAATACATTCTCGGGTACTGGCCAACAAATCCGCATGCCATGACACGTTCCAGGGACGTAAACACTTCCCTTTCCGCCTGGGATCTTATTAGTACATCCACAACATCAATCGCTTCTTCTGAGATCCGACGACGGTACAGGCAGGATCATTTGTCAACGTGCTTGCAGGGATTGATACCATCTCGCATGCAGGTCCTGGTCCTCATCCACACCCACGTTATCCAACTCTTGATTCGACCGAGCTCCAATTTTCGAAAGTCGGGTCAATTCAGCCTTGTGTGACGTTGGTCATCGACCAAGCTGAGCTCCAGTACCCACAGCGGGCAAGTCCAACGCTACAAAGACTCTCAATCTGCAAGCCATCTTTGCTCACTGGCTAACTAGACGCCCCCACGTAACCTTCGCTACGCCCCAACTCTCTGCCCTGCCAAAAAAACCATGCATGCTAAGACCTGCTACCAACCATCGCGAAGCATTCCCAATCCAAAATCTTAGCGGGAGTTGCACTATGCCGAGACGGAGTATTCGCTTTATCAACGGCACGATATTCCTCTTAAACAAGGATATCTGACGCTGGAAATTTCATTTGGAGGCTTGTTCTACCTACAGATACCCATATTTACTCTCGCAGGTGTCCTGAAGCTTCGTTGGCGTTTTGATTGTTTAATAACGATCTACAAGAGGCTAACGAATTGTAGAACTGGAGCTATGTGCTCTTCAAATACCTGGATAATTCAAGTGGCCCTAACATATTTCCTCCAACTATACATTTCTCCATATCAACAGGCAAGAGTCAATATGCACACTCTGGTCAGTTCAAAACCAGGTCATGCAAGGATGTTGATCCTCCAGATCCTGGGGCGGCTGGAATAGCTGCGAGGTAGCAGTCTTGGGTCCGTATTCGGCACATGTACTATCTGGGAAATGATTCACAAGCACCTCTTGGAAGCTGTTTGTTGGTCGTCTCTTGGGAGTCTTGTGCAGATACTTCTTCGCAAATCTTCAGTTAGTACTTCTTGGAACTTTTGGCGCGTGCGGCTGAGCCTTGTCAATGGACCGAATCCCGGCAACGAAGTCGCAATGGCACCATCTTGATCCCGCATCACATGCACGATCTGTATGATCTTCTGGGTGACACTGATCATTCTTGGCATCGCGAGTTCACGCTGAGATCAAGAACATTTGCATCGTCACTATGGACTCTATACAAATTCTAAAGCTCTGCACAGAACTCTCTGAGATTGTGCGAGTATTGGAGGCTGAGGATGTCTTCTCCACGAGTACAATACATGAGTCTGATAACGACCTTGAGAAACGTGCCTCGGTCAGCCAGCGAATCTCGACCATCAATCGCCATATCTGCGGCATTGTCGCCCGACTACAAGATGGGCCCGATCAGTTTTTGTATCAGCTTGCAACCCAGGTCGGTAGTCCAGACAGACAAGCTCAAACTTATCACATGCTGATCGATGCAGAACCAAGTCCTGGCATGTTTCAAATGGTTGAGCGATCACCAAGTTGTGGCATGTCTGCCATTGACGGAGAGCATTCCCGTAGAAGAGCTCGCCAATTTGGCTGATGTGGACAAGGCCATGCTCAGCCGAGTTGTCAGACTTGTAGCTTCGGTGGGATTTTTGAGAGAGGACCGACCTGGACATGTGGCCCATACTGCACTGTCGACTCACTTCACAACTGAGCTTTCTTCCCTGGATGCAATCACATTCCTAGCTAGCGAGATCGCGCCGCTGGCATTGCAATCAGCATCTATCGCGAAGATTCAGAGCAAGAGCAAGCTACAAGATGATCTGCAATGCACACAGACCAATGGCATGGACAACAGCAACTCCTGCTCGCACCTTTCATTTGGAGGAAGCTCAATCCGACCACAGATCCAGCGACAGTGGGCGGCGTACTGCCAGAAAATGGGCAAGTCAGAGTCCATTCTGGGTTCTGTCATCAATCATCTCAATTGGCAAGGGCTAGGGCAGGCCACTGTGGTACATGTGAGTACTATGGCCCCTTACTGGAGTCAGAACCAATCTTAGGCGACCAAGCTGATAGTTCTCTAGATTTGTGCTACTCATTCTGACCTTTCGAATACACTCACAAAGATTGCACCGGCGATTCGAGTGATCGTTCAAGTCTATGAGTGGGCGCCACCAGAAGTTACGACTGCCTCCAGCTCTTCAAAGCCCCTGTTCGCACAAGGTGTACCGAGACAGTCCTCAACAACGCAACCCATCAGAGACGCAGCAGTCTATGTTGTGCAGCCTGATGCCTCATCGCTTCCATCCGGTATGACTTCGCTGCAAGAACTCGTCGCATCAGAGCTGAGATCGCACCTCCCTGTGCTCCGAGCCAATCCAGCCTCGCTTTTGATTCTTGCGCCGCCGCTTCTTCCAGAGCCAGGGTCAGTATCCCCGCAGGTAGAGACGCAAGCCCGTGTACGCGACTTTGCCCAGCTGCAGCTAACCAGTGATGGCGCCCTCGAACTATCGGAGCTGTACGAAATCGTTCAAAGCGTAGACGACAGCTACGGCAATTTGGCGGTCTGCAACGAGATGCGATCAAAACAGGGACACGTAGTGGGACTTACCGTGAAGTACCAGTCACGCTCGGAAACTGCCCTGCTGAGTTCTAATGCGGACTTTGACATGTCATGGGCTGACTGGTCATCATACGCTTGATCGGAGTTCATTTGTGGAAGACTATTTGGGCATGCAGGGGGCCAGGAACGGCATCTGAGTGTTTTATAACGGCAACTAAAGTTGGTAACCCATCGCATCCGAATTCACTCAGAGAGCTCACGGAACGAAGAAGGGTTGCTGGGTCGAGTTGGGTCGCACTGACTCTTGGGCCGTTCGCAAGGCTGAGAGCCAATCCCGCCTCTTCAAGTCGCCCGGCTGCCTGCTCACCCTCGTCGATGTGGTCAAAGTGGGCGGCATCTGAATTCTGTCTCTCTCGAAATGGAGCTGAGCAGGCCCATGATTGCAGTGCGAGTTGATCAGTCTGCTAGGTAGTACTGAGGATGCATGTTTCGCTTTCAGATACATCAGCTATCAATTCGTTGAATACACATGCCTTATCTGCAGGCCGTGGTCATGATATCATTTCCCCTTTGAAAAAAGGGGCGGCCTTGACGATGTGTCAGGCAGAGGACTGGCTGTTGTGGCTCAAATGAGCACGTGTTTAGGGTTTTGCGCTGTTGTGAGTGTTGCAGTCTCTCGGCAATGGCGCTCGCACGAGTCTAGCAGGGTTGGTGAGGATGGCTCGACTGGTGCATCGCCGTGCTGTGTGCTGCTCTGCCGCTACAATATGCACCGAGTCCTGCGGTTCACGCTCGGCCATAGACAACGCATGTGTTTGTAGCAGCTGCGGGCCAAGGTAGGTGGTCTCTGATCGCGTCAAAGTCTAGCGAGCGTGCTTGATACTGTACGTCGCCATGTCGTTAGTGATGGCTGTTTTTTCGATGAGGGTGCATGCTCTGAGCGTGGAGGCCTTACTCAACAGCGATCGCAGCTGCTCCCAAGCTTTAGCAAGCGAGGCAACAGCGATCGGTATGATTTCGAGCTCAGCTTGGTCGAAAGGCCATTTTGCCCTCGTCGTCTCGTTTGCGTTTGGCCGTCATATCTCTTCGATAGCTACAAGCGAGCAAATTTCTGATCGTGGTTGATGTTGCTCAGACGACTGCCAGTGTCGGGGATCGATATTCCACTTTCAGTGGGATAGGGAGGGCAGTCCCCCTCCACCAGCTCCCTTGGCGAGGTCTTGGAGGCCTGATACCAGTCTTCCATGTAGACTCGCCGTCGCGCTCCTGCTAGTACAAAGCTGAATACTGGCCTTGGCCCTCACTGTCTGATCCGGAAACTTTGGCTTGAGCCAAATCTTATCTTGGGCTATTTGTTCAGGCATATAGCGAGCCACGATAGAACGGAATCATGATCACATCGCGCTGTCGGCACACCGTGAAACAAGCGTTCAAGGAGTTCTTCGAGGATGCAGTCAGCCAGAGGTAGGGCCGTCGAGATTGATCTTCCATCTCGCCTGTATGCCCGATCCGTGAAAGCCGTAAAGGTCTCGCAGCTCTCTCCACCTTGGCTCCGCCGCCGATCATGTTGGTCCTCGCGTGGAAGGCAAGCCACATGGCGCCATATTTCTCAGCTCCCATTGACGCAAGAGGCCGCTCCGCAAGCACCTAAAAGGCTACATAATCTTGTTGCAGATGAGCAAGATTGGAAGGGGAGGTATATCGTCAAGTCGGGGTAGGAAAATCTGCTGTCATGAGCTGCGAGATATCGCTTGATCGTTCATGTAGTGCACCGTAGCGGACGTGGGGCACATGTGTTATCAATTGGAGTTCATAGGAGGTAGAGTTGTTCCCGGTTCAATGCATGTGGTATCAGTTATGCCGCGGCCAGCATGTGATGAACTCTCATGTGACGAACTCTCGAGTGAATAGAGCGATGTTGCTGACTTCCGCAGCGATAGCAGCATGTCCAATGACGGACGAAATGCTGTGAGCCTTTTCAACCTCAATCCGCGATCTCATCTTTGTCAATTTGATAGGACGTCTGCAGCCCCGAGTGCGCGAGCGAGGGGTTCATTCTTCTTCTGGGACTGGTTTTCGTCGTCCCAACTGATTCATTGCAAGGAAACGGATACCACACCTTTCTTCACAGAACGATGTGGGCCAGCAAGTCTTGAGACAAAGAATGCAACGTTCACCCATGCCAAAAGTGTATAATGTAACACATACCTTGATTCGTATAACCAGAATCATCCACTGCCTCAATGAGCAGGCTAAATTCGAGCGTTGCCAAGCGGATTTCACGGTCGAGACGCTGTTCGAACTGACGGTTCGAAATGACGCACCCATGTTGCGGATCACATTTGGGCACCTTGTCAAGCGCTGTCACCAAGAAATTCAGATTAGTGACATCCGTGTTCAGTCAGCGTTATGCCTGTGCGCCGGATGCAAGGATGAGAAGTCCAGACCGGAGGCCGGAACGAGAGCAGAAGCAATACGGAAGGGTGTTGTGCGGAACCGTCAACCTGAACAGCAACACAAATCCAGTGGTCACCGAATGCGAATGCCAGCGACGTGACCGCAAGAATTGAATGTTGAGCCCGACTTTGCGCCCCAAAAGAATTTTTGACAACAACGGCTCAGCCCTGTCACCCGTCAAGAACGTGATGATCCAAGGTCTTCCATGGGCCGTCCAAGACATGACACCAGGTGCGCGCATCCACACACGAGAAGATCCTCGTCGTGGTCGGTGGCTGCCTCGTGTAATGGTGTTATTCTTGCGTCTTCGAAACTGTCTTCGAAATTCGTCGGCGCAGCCCAGTCGACTTTGTGGCTGGCGAAGAGGACGCTTTCGTAGATCAGCTCACCTCTCCACAGCCAATGACCTTGAAAACATGCGCCTTCGAGTGGTACCTGGCTTGTATAGCAGCTGGAAAATCGATAGGGCGGCATAAGCTCCATAAAGGTGGAAAGCTCGACTGCATCTCAATGGTGACAGTACAAGCAGACCTCGCTTGCGTGTACCAGCAAGACCAGCAGCCGATCGATTGGAGCAGTGTGAGATCAAATGAACTCTTCTAACAGCCAGTGGTTGAGGGTAAGCCTCTTGAATCGTACAACTTGGATCCTTCGCTCGGCAATGCAATTGCATTCATCGTGCCCAGTACTTGCCAGAAAGATCAAATAGTGGTACCTACAGTAGCGGACGAAGCTGCAGGAAACCAGCAGTCCAGGACCAAGGTTCTCCGCGTATAAGAGATTTCCTGAAGAGCTTCGATTCTATTTCGGGACACAAGCCAGCATCTCGCCACCACCGCGTGACATGGCGGCGGCCACGAGTTTCTCCCACGGCGGCTTGGTACACCATCCCCGCGAAACGACATTCTCTTGCGGCGCCGACGCTGTCTCTTGCTGAGGCGACCCGAGTACCAGAATGTCTCGCGCACTACGCGCGCGCCAGTGCAACCAGAAATACCGGAGTACAGCGCCAAATGCCATTCTCTCGGAGGCCTGAGGGCATTGAACAGTGCATTGCTTGAGGATCGGTTACCGCATCCGGCTGGACTCTGGAAATATCAAACAATAGACCTGGGATCCTGGAACATGGAGAAGTTGTTGTTGTCTTCGCCTCGCTCGATCACTCCTGTCAAGCTTTTGCTGGTGGCGCTCGCGGTGCTGCTTCCGGTCAAGTGTCCAATTTCGCCAGGACAGCCCGTCTTCTTCACAGCCAACCAGTGGCGCCCAGTAGTCAGAGATACTACATGACCAGCTCGTATGCAGTACTGCCAAAGCCGCTGCAGTGCCAATCGAATCGCGGTGTTGAGTCTGCAATAACACGACGGTGCTACTGCTTGTACCAGGGCCCAATAGCAAATACTGCAGCCTGTCGTCATGCGCCAGGTACCCCCCTTTCCGCCCGACTCAGTGCCGCCGCCGAGCTAGCCCCGCTATTTTCTCGTCGCCCTATCCCACACATCGACCCCAGCGCCCGAACACGAACTGCGGCTCGAACAACGCCTGCATGCTACAGGCTCTGGCAAGAATGATATGAACCCCTGCTAGTTTCTCAGCCTTTATCTAGCTATATATGGAAGAATAAGTGGGTCACCACTTTGTATAGCCTCCTTCAGCATCGATTACTACCTAACATCTTTCCCTAATACTCTAGTAGATCCTTAATATATTAGATGTCGA